ATTTTTCAAATGGCTTTTTGGTCTTCCATTCTCTGACTGGTTGGCCCCAGACCATGTCAGAGCTGGTAGTGTCAGTTTCAGAAATGAAGTTAAAAAATCCACTTCCAGGATACAAAGAATGAGGTTTGCAAGTGAGAACGTGAAGGGGCTCATGTGGTAAACGGTGCCCCTTGCTTTGAAATGCCGGTAAACCCTGCCCACCCCACACAGGGCTGGCACCTAGCCTTGCCGGCCCGTCACCACTATGGCTCCACAGCAGCATGGAGCTTGGCCCCGCACCCCAGGACGACCTCCCAGCAGCTGTCACCTGACTGGCTGGCATCAGGCGACTCTGAAGTGAGTCATTTGAGAGGGCAGCCAGTGCTGAGAGCAGAAAGCACGTTGCACAGATTTGTAGGAGAGGCCTTGGCCACCTGTGACAGGCTGAGCAAAGGTCCTGGGCATAGACTTGAATGCATCAGCAGTGGTTTGCCTGGAGACTGTAACATCAGAAGGCCTGAGTGGGAGGAGGACGGAGGGTGCCAGGTGTACAGGCCCCTCAGTATTCACAGCATACGGTGGCCCAAAGGAGCTGGAACCTGCCTGAGACAGGGCAGCGAGTTCAGGGCAGACTTGTCCAGCTTTTGTGTTTACAGAGCATTTGTGAAGAACAGGCTGGACTTGATGCAGCTCCTGGGGCTGCTGCAGGAAAAAAAATCATCTTCAACTAAGCAGGACATACTGTCTGGAGCTTAACATAAAAGCACTTTCAAACGCTGGCGGAGGACTGCAGTTCTGGCTGGTTACCTTGAAAAGACACGTGGCGTCTGGGGTTGGGCCACGATACTTGAGCTTCTCTGTTAGTTTTGCAGGGAGCAAAAGCAGCCTGACATTTCCAGGAAATGCTGCATTTTGAGTAGGGATGGTCTTTTATAGACTGAAATACTTGGTGAAGGGATGGTGTGGGGTGTGGGAGTGTTGCCAGAAAGGCCCCTGCCTTGGTGTGGGACTGGAGAGGCAGGGTTTGCATGGATGATTCACTCCCCATGACACTGGTCTCACAGAAACAGTTCTGTCAGGCTCAGCTCTTGCTTCAGACACACAGTCCTTGGTCTGGCCTTGACCTGCATGCTCTCAGAGAGCCTGACTCCTTTACATCAACAGGAGGCTGTTGCCCTGTGGTGGCTAAGCATGTCACCACGAGCTGGCCCAGGCAGGTTCCTGCAGGGTGGTCATGAGAGTAAGACCAAAGCGCAGGAGCTTGGCTGTAGACCCGCTGTTCTGAGGCAGGCAGCCCTGAGTCCTGCCGCACAGCTATACAGCCCCAACAGTCCCTTGGCTCCACTTCCTTTGAAAGGAGAGTGAGAAGCTTTTGGCTGCTGGGACGTGGAGGGAAATGCTTAAAGGAACCCCTGAGTGCTCTCAGGGCAGCAAACTGAGGCTCGGTGTGACAGTTCCCAGAGAAGGCAGGAGGCTGGGGAGTTGTGGGCTGGTCCAGCCTGGCCCCCTGGCTCCTGTGGCTCACTAAGGTCTCTCAGGGGCTGTTGCTCCTTCCTGGGGCATTCTGACTTGGAGGCGCCTTGTGATCAGTGGTTCTGGCAGGTTGCTGAACCCCCAGTGCTCTCCTCAGGGGCAGAAGGGGCATCCCAGCCCTGCACATGCCCTGCTCTCCTTGCCAAGCTGTGAGGAGATGAAAGGGACCCTTGGTGCAGACAGCCTGTAGCTGTTTCCTCCTGACAGCAGTTCTAGCAGGTCAGAGGTAAATGGCCTGGAACTTATTTATTAGATAAGGCAAGTAAATCTGGAGGTAAAAGGGACTTGTCCTTACATTGCTGATGCGCTTCCCACATGTCTTCTAGAATCTTCGACCTCAGAACCTCCATGATTGAAGGAACTTGGTCTAAGACTTTGACATACCTGATCATAGTAAACATATTTTTAGTGTTTGGACCACTCAGATGAGAGAGAGAGAGAGAGAGAGAGAGAAAATTTCCCTTGGAATTCACAGGTGGGGGAGATGTGGTTGAGAAGTGTTTCTCAGGTGAGACTAGATGGAAGAATGCATTGGTGGAAACGCTGGTTGTGTTGGCACTGGTGTGGCTTTGCTCACGATGGCACCAGAGTCCAGTGCAGGACCTTACAGAGAAGCACTGACTCCCCCTCTTGCATGGCGCTGGGCAGGCCGTGGCCTCTCTTGTCAGCAATCGGGTGTGCCGGGCTGTTCTCTGACTTCCTGGCCCCAGTGATGGCTGCTCTCTGGCCCCTTCTTGGTTTGCCTATACTCTAAGCCCGGAGAGCCTGGAGCCTGGGATAGATCTGGAAGCATCAGTCCCAAGCTCCCTCGGATTGTCAGCAGGCAAACTACAAGTCAAATCAGAATCCCATTATAATTGGCAGACTTGTTCTACTGCCTCAGTTTACCCAGATTCACTGGTGACTTTTAAAATTTCTTTCTCTAAAAAAAAAATCCTCACTAGAACTCTAACATTCTCTGGAATATGGCAAGGAAAGTATTTATAGCTTCTTCCCAGACAGATGACCCCTGGCTTGCTTCTGCTGGAGGAATAAGGTGCCTATAGGGGACACGGTGGTGGCTGAGGGCTTTTTCTGCCTGCATGCCTAATGAGGCCTGTTCACTTGTCACATGGATGCTGAGAGGAACAGAACACCCACTCTGAATGGGGCAGCCAGTTAGGGAGACAGGCTGTGTTCCAGTCACTTGTCTACGGTCTCACTTACTTGGGTTTCTGTTCAGATTTTTATAAAGTCCCAGTGGCTCCCATAGCAACTTGATTTTTATACTGTCTCCATTTGCTGGGCTGAGTTCCTGGAAGTGGTTTGTACCCCCAGGTTTCCAAGGGTTAATATAGGTCACTAGGAGGGCACACTGAGGCTGACAGACATGAAACTTGCTTGGCTTTTGGAACTTTTTGATTTGTGAAATTTTAAGGATATACAAATACCATAATGTGTACCGTTATATTTAATTATGTGTACATGAGCTGGTGTGGCTTGGTGTGGAGAGCAGGCAAACATTCTCACATCTGATCCAGGTGTCCTGAGGCAAAGTCAGTCTGTTTTCTCATCTGTGAAATCAGACTTTGTTCCCGTCACCCCGTAGGAACCCCTTCCCGTTCTAATAGCCTGTGATGCTCCTGCCTTGCTTTTTAAAGACTCTTTTTTTTTTTAGATTTATTTATTTATGCATACAGAACTGGGGTACAGGCCCGAGGTACAGGGGCCATGAGAGGTCTCACCAGAGAAAGACATAGTTCAGAAAGCCAACTGGGGCTAAGTGAAATGTAACTCTTTATCAATGTATTGACATTTAAAAAATGAATGCCTAGTGCAGGTGAAGGGTGAAATGTTTTACTGCTCGAACAGACTCTAGTTGTATATACTGGGTCTGATGGTTTCATCCTTTGAGAAAAGGAATGCCGTCCCGTGGCGGGAGTGAACAGGGAGGCTGCTGCTCATGTTCGGGAGTGGGATCCATCTGTTTGGGGACCACATGAGGTCACGACATTCTAGCACAGCCACCCCTCCCCTCCTTCTCCGCCTTGGTGGTGATGCTCGGGGGAAGATTTGTTCATGACAGGCCTGTGGCTTTGTAGGTGTCAGATGCTGAGGACAGAAAATTCTCATCTCTACAACAGGCCAAGTTAGGCTGAAATGACTCAGTTTAAGATAGAAAAGATACAAACCACGAGGCGCGGCTGTTTCGGAAGTAGGGAGGATGGTCCACTTCTGCGCAGGCCCAGAGGAGCCTGGGCGAGGTCACGCTGGCCTGGGCTCCGCGGGAGGGTGCTTTGCTTCCTGACAGTGCCAGGAGGCGGTGGTTGCTACTTTTGAGCCTCACTCGTGGCTTCATACCGTGGACCCACTCCGGACTGGCCCACTCGGTCTGATCTTCCTTAGCTCTGCGAAGTAGGGGTGCCCCATTTCAGGGGTGAGCAAATGGAGCCTTGAAGTCACAAATGTGGGCTTCAACTTAGATCCAGCGGTCTGAGCGCCTGCTCTCAGCCACTGCCCCACCCCTACCCGCCCGGAGGTGCTGCCAATGGAGAGCAGGACGACACCTCAGCTCCATCAGGGCTGCCCTGACCACACGTTGCCCAGCCAGTCTCGCTTAGTCACTGCTTGGGGAGTTTGGCTTTATTTCTCCCCTTTCCCCTCAGTGTCTCCCCCCTCCCCTGACTTTAGCCTAGGGAGCAGCTAGTACATTTCATGTACCATAGTTGACACAGAGCCGGAAATGCAAAATGCTCTGTCCTGCTGCCCCTTCCCATAGGTAGTATGTGATTCATCTGTTTTGATCGGTTCATTTGAAACAAGGAAGCTTTAGACAGGAAAGACAGCCCGGTACTGACACCCGCACAGGGCATGGCCCCGCAAGGACAGCCTCAACAGTCCCTCCTGCGCAGAAGCAGTTTGCTCTGCCCCCTTCTCACTGCGGGGAGAGAACCTCCCCGTCCCTGTCAGGTGGTTCTTCCCTGGTGTACGAGTGCCGGCTCTTCGTAAGCGCCCTCTGCTCATTGTCTTCACAAGTTCAACAGAACTTAGGTGCCAGATGAATGAGCTGTTACTCTTGAACTTTAAAAGAGAGGTGGGCGTGGTGCCTTCATGTTCTTCTCCATCCATAATACCTCCTGTCTTTCAGTATTTTAAAAATAATATCAGTCTCAGGTCTGTTCACAGTTTTTTCTAGGTTATACCTGTTGGTGGCCTCTGAGTGCAAACCTGAGAATTCAGAGATAAGCTGGTGCCAACCCCAGTGGCAAGAGTCACTGTTGTCCCGAGGCGTCTTTTCTTAGGAAAAGTCTGGATGGACAGATGGGCAAAGTTTGATCCTGGTGGGGGAGCGGGGCAAAGCCCCCTTGCAGTCTGACTTTGCAGTGTGCCCTTCTGCCCCTCCAGCCCCTGGGGCCCTTCCTCCCATTTCCCAGAGCCCTGCATCCTGCCTGTTCCCTGGCATGCAGCCCTTCCAGAGCACTGTCTAAAGGGTGTGCTTCTCCCCACAGCCAGCATGCCCACCAGTGAGACCGAGTCCGTCAACACCGAGAACGTAAGTGGTGAAGGCGAGAGCCAAGGCTGCTGTGGAAATCTCTGGTGAGTGTGGAGGCCACTTGCCCTCTTGGCTCCTCTTGTCTTAGAACTGAAAGTGAAGAGGGTACCCCAGATGTCGGTGTCACCCTGGGGCAGAGCCTACGGTGTAAGAGGGGTGGTGGGTGCACCCCGGACCGCGTGCTCCTGGTCTTAGCCCTAGCCCTGGGCATTTCACATCCCCCTTCTTCCTCTAAGAGTTTGTCCTGCCAAGGGGGCCCTCCTGCCTGGGGTGCGGGATGACCCAGCAGTTCTGCTGTATTTACCAGGTGCTGGTGGAAAAGAAGAGGCACTGCCCAGGCTGGGCCCTCTGGGTGCCGGCGGTGGGGGTAAAGAGCCGATTCTCCTCTGAGTCTGCTGTTGGCATCAGTGCTGTGAAGAAGCGCTTTTGTGGCAGAGTTGCTGACTGTAGTGGGCTGTGAATTAACTTCCCTTCACTCATGGGTTCTCCCAACCTCATCACTGCACTGGATGACCAGGCCCTGCCTGCCTCTGCTCACGGCCTTTTTCTTTGGCACTTGCACCCTTAATGATGCAGGCTTCTATCACGTTAACACCGGGTCGGCTTTTTTCTAGATGATTCAAGCTGCAGCCGGGGGACCAGCAGAGTGCCGCCTGCTTTGGGGAAGCCCAATGCAGTTTTGTTTGCTTCCTGCTAATAACCTTTAGGTCTGACCTCTGTAAAATAGAGGTGTTGTTCTTAAGAGAACTTGATCTCCATGCCAGGGTTCATAAAAATGATGTGTTCTGGGCAGGACACTCAATTTATGAAATGGACTTGCCTGCGTCTCTTGTTCCACCCTCCCTGCAGCACGTGAAAGGAGCAGGGAATGACTGTCTTTCCCAGTTCCCAGACAAGAGCACTGAGGCCCCTGGAGGAGTGCTGCCTGCCCGTGCCTGCCCCGTCAGCGAACAGTAGAGCTGGCACTCAGCCCGGTGTTCCTCTTGCTCATGGCAGTGTGTGCTGCTGTCCAGATGAGCGGCTGAGCGCCGGGCAGCAGAGGCCCTGTTGGCGTTAGTTGCGGGGTTGGGGAGAAGAGTGCCTGGCATCACCGCCTGTACCAGGGCTGCTCAGGAATCTAGCTAGAGCCCTCTCTTGCCTGACCTAAGAATGTGCTCAGCCTGGCCTGCCTGGCAGCACCTTGCCCCCTGCTCTGCTCCTACCCCGGCTGGCCCAGGGTGAGACCAGGGACGCTGAGTCTAGGCTTGAGTGCATGGCTTTTCGGGCATCTCTGCTAAGTGACAGGCAGGCCTGCTTAAACCTTCCTAACAGGAGCTATGTTCTTTGTGTTTTTCAGTCAAGCCATCTCAAAATCCAAACTCAGGTCAGTATCTCCTTTGTATTATTTCTTTAGTCTAGTGTTGATGTTTTATGCACTAATGTGTGAGTCTCGCTTGCAGCTGCTCGAGACTTGATGTTTTTTCTATGTGGGCTGTACAGGACCGAGCTGTGCCTTGGGAGAGCCACATAATACCTGCTGAAGTCTCACCCCAAAACCAACCAACAAAACACACACTGAATAATTATTTTGTCACTGAGTCTTCATTCTCTCCCAGCACAATTTCTCTGAACTACTCCTTGCCATTTTTCTGCTTAAAAGTTTTCCAAGGAAGGAGGTTCAAAGGCCTTCTGAGGTGCTAGTCACATTGTTCCTTGCTTTGCTCAGCTTACATTTAAGATCGCTCAGTTGGTGAAAGATTCATGGGATGTTTACCTATGTTTTGTATTCTTTTCTCTATAAATGCTATTTTCAATTTAAAATATTTTATCACTGTGTAAAAAAAGTAATTCCACAGTTCATGCAAATATCAGATCATTGCGTTGTACACTGAAATTAATGTTACATGCAAGTTACAATTCAATAAAAATTAGCATGGAATAAATATAGAACTAACTATAAAACCTAAAACTATAAACATTCTAGGTGACAATCTCTGTAACCTTGGATCAGGCAACGATTTCGTAGATGTAACACCCAAACCACTAAGGATAGCAGAAAATTGGCTGTTAATTTAGATGTCATCAAAGTGAAAACTCCTCCTCTTCAAAAGAAATTATAATAAAGTGGTAAGCCACAAATAGGAAGAAAATATATTTGCCAAGCTTATTTCATTAAGATTTCATAGCACCCAGTGTACTTAAAGAATAATGACAATAACAAGTAAATAAGTCAAAATACGACCTGTAGATTTTAACGGCATGTCACCGTGGAGATGTGGACATGAAGTGAGCATGTGAAATGACCATTGGTCATTAGGAAATTGCAAGTTAAAATCACAGCAGGATCCCACTACATACATGCCTTTTGGAATGAATCAGACTTAAAACAGATTTTGCCACAGGTGACAGATCAGTGCGTGTGCACATGCAACCCTGCTATTCAGGTGCCAGGCACTTTCTAAGCGGTTCGGTTTTCTTAAAGTTAAACACATGCTTACATCGGACCCAGCAATCCCATGTCTGAGGAATTTATATAAAAGAAATGAAGCACTATACCTACACAAAAGGTTTTCACACAAATGTTGATGGTAGTTTTATTCAAATTTCAAGAGACCAAGATGATGAATGGGTAGACGAGTTGTAGTTTATCCACATGGTAGCCTAATCTCAAGAAGAAGAAGAAACAGCTGATAGGTGCAGCACCATCAGTAGCCTCAAAAGTAGTTTTACAAAGTGAAATAAGCCAGCCTCAAAAAGCTGCATATTATAAGATCATTTATAGGGTATTCTGGGGTAAAGCAAAAACAGTAAGGACCAAAAACAAATCAGTCCCTGTCAGGAGCTGGGCTGAGAGAGTGGATGAACTACCAAATGCAGCAGAGAGTGGCCCTTTGAGTGGAGGGCATATCTGGACTTTGACCTTGGTGATGTTCACAAGCTGCATACCGAAAGTAAATTCCACTGTAAATTTATCTTTTCAATAAACCTGACATTTAAGAAAAGAATTCAACGCTCTTTCATAAGTCCCTGTTACTAGAAGGCATAAAAAGTCCTTTGTAATTTGGCCCCTGGTATCCTCTGGTCTCATCTTTTATTCTAAAAAATACTCTTTTATTGAGGTAGAATTGCCTGGCTGTACCTTTTGACACCTCTACCCTGCTCCCCACTCAGTAGCTCTGGAGGGCTGCTTTCAGTTTTCAAACATACCCTATACTTTCTGCACCTCAGTCCCTTGACTGTGTGTTCACCTGAGTAGAGAGGTGGACAGTCCTTCCCTCTGCCCCCTGGCCAACTCTCACTCAGCCTCCAAGATCCAACCCAACTGTCTGTTTTTTGTTTTGTTTTGTGAAGCCTTTCCTGAATCTTCCAAACTATATTTGTGGCTTCCTTCTTTTGGCTCCTATACAAAATAGCCTGGGAATATCTGCATGCTTTTCAGGGACAGGGATGTGGAACTATGCCTTCGTCTTCATATGTCCAGTGCTTGGTCCAGGTGTTGATTTCATCAAGGGAAAAGGCCTGGCCCCATGGGTTTTCAGCACCCAGCAGGGGCAAAGTCAGAAGTGTAGGGGACATGACAAAGAGGTCTCTTAGGTTTGGGAAACATTTGTGACCTGCAGCATAGGGTCTTGTTCACAGCTTCTTGCCTAGGTCCACTGAACTCCGTATCATAGGGGAAACCCAGCTTTGAGGGGGACAGTCATCATTGTCCTCTGTGGAATTTTTCTATGCCGGTCATCATGTTTCCTTCCAGCTGCTGTCAGCGGGAAACCACACAGCAAGGGTGTAAAGTGCACCTTGCTTGTTCCAGGTCTTGTTGAGGATTTGGCACAGATCTCTCGGCCTGGTCCCTGGTTTTTGTTTTGTTGTCTTTTAGTGTAGCAACGCAGCTGAGTCAGCCAGAGCTGCAGCTTGGACGCAGCCTGGAGATTCCTTTGACTCACTTCTGGAGGAAGTGCCTCCTTCCCCACCAGCCAGTGAGCACAGCCTGCAGTGGCCCTTCTGCAGGACCCACGGTGCAGAGCATTCTGTGAGAAGGGAGCGCTTCCACAGGGAGGCAGGCTAAGGGAAAGAATACTTACCCTACTTACAAACAGGAACTGAAAGTAGGTAGGGGACACGCTACTATCTGTGGGCTCAGCTCACTTTATTTGTATGAAAACACGATTCAATATTGGCTTTCCTCCTAAAGGTATATTTTGAGCATCACTAGTTAGAAAGGGCACCTGATGACTCAGTTTGAAGACTCATGTCCTACTCAGCTTTGACAGCTCTGCCAGGCTCCACAGGAACCTCTGAGAATCAGGAAAGGACTGAAGGTTTCCCTAAAAGGAAAACTAGTTTAGGAGCATTTTGCTGCCAGATAAATTGCTTGTGATGATCGAGGTGCCGAGAGAGATGTGTATGGTAAGCTAAGTGGCTCTCTGCATCAACAGCACGAACAGACCCTGTGCCATATGCTGGGAATGCAAACCGCGTATGCGTGCAAGGCGATTTTACATCTGCACACAAAACTTTCATTATCTAGATTTCCTGACCAGTTTGAGGACTGCACGTGACAGCTTCTGGACTTATCTAAAGCCATAGGAAGGAAACTGATAGCATGTCAAGACAATGCTTTAGAAGTAATTTAAGACCAACGTAATTTACATTGTGATGTCTGTTAAGGTTTATGCCTCTTGTTCTTGTCTTTTTTCTTCCTGTACCCCCACCCCACCCCAGACCCAGAGGGAAAGTCACATACTTGGTAGTAGCATGTACTGGGTCTCCTGACGTGGGATGCCGGGGAGTAACATCTGCTTCTCTTTCAGCCGACGCTGGCGTCGCTGGAACCGCTTTAATCGCAGACGGTGCAGGGCTGCTGTGAAGTCTGTCACGTTTTACTGGCTTGTTATTGTCCTGGTGTTTCTCAACACCTTAACCATCTCCTCTGAGCACTATAACCAGCCTGACTGGTTGACACAGATTCAAGGTACAAGCAGAGCCATTCTCTTTGATCTGAAGGAGGGGTTCTGAGGGCTTTGCACTGCAGTTTAGTCTAACTGCTCCATAGTAATGTATGAGAACAGTTCTCATGGGTGCTAACTCTAGAAACATCCAAACACAGGGTGCACTTGGAATGGGGGTGCAGTTCATGTTGGATGGTGAATGAAACACCTTGGAGCTGATTAACTCAAAACAACTCGTTATCCTAGCTTCTTGGGGACTTGGGGTCATGGGGATGGAAGGAACCTCCTATCCCTTCTCCTGGCCATTCTGGAAGCATCATTTTCCCTTTAGGGTTCTTGGCATGTGGTTGCTTATCTCCAGGAGACTGGTGCCAGGCACTCCCCACAGGCAGCCCATTCTGAATTGGCAGTTTTGAGCCACTGAAAAAATCCTGACTTACTTCAAGTCCAGTCTATTTCCAGCCAAATCTCTAGCCAATCTGTTAGAAATGACATTGATAGGTGATTGCCTGTTATGCCCTGGTGCTGTAAGCAACACTGACCAGACTGGTCTTACCATGTGTGACTGAAGCGAGAAAATGTAATATAATGATATAAATGCAGAGTCACAAGCTTTTTAGGGTCTGGAAAGCTTCAGAGGTCAGGTGGCACTAACTGACCCAAATCAATGAAATCAAAGACATTTTCCAGAGTCACAAATCTAAGTAAGAACAGAGTCAGGATGAGAGCCGGAAACGGACCATGCAGATTACTGCCTTGTTTCTGTAATGGAGACAGTAACAAAGAAGTAACAGAGAGAGGGAGCCAGGAGTGCTTGGAGCACAGCCTGGACCTGGGGGGGGGGCACTGATGGAGGGAGGTGTGATGGGAATAGGGGGTTCTGAGCCAGCTCTTGGCTGAGATCCTGAGAACTGTATCACTTTGTTTTTTCCAGATATCGCTAACAAAGTCCTCTTGGCTTTGTTCACCTGCGAGATGCTGGTGAAAATGTACAGCTTGGGCCTTCAGGCATATTTCGTTTCTCTCTTTAACCGGTTCGATTGCTTCGTGGTATGTGGTGGAATTACCGAAACCATCTTGGTGGAACTGGAAATCATGTCCCCCCTGGGGATCTCTGTATTCCGGTGTGTGCGCCTCTTAAGAATTTTCAAAGTGACCAGGTAAGGACCCGTCTATCTTGCTGCAGGTGGCATCTGGATGTCAGGTGCTGGCCGGGTGCATCCCTGGTCAGGTGTCCCTGCTGTGCCCCGCACGGGTGTGCTCCAAGCACCTCACACCCTCCTCTTGATTTTCAGGCACTGGACTTCCTTGAGCAACTTGGTGGCATCCTTGTTGAATTCCATGAAGTCCATCGCTTCTCTGTTGCTTCTGCTTTTTCTCTTCATCATCATCTTTTCCTTGCTTGGGATGCAGCTGTTTGGTGGCAAGTTTAATTTTGACGAAACACAAACCAAACGGAGCACCTTTGACAATTTTCCCCAGGCGCTCCTCACAGTATTTCAGGTGAGCCCTCCGGCCTCCTTTCCCTGAGAAGCCCATAGTGAGATGCCTTCCTGTCTATTCACAGTAAGATGAATTGATTTCATTTTTATTAATAATGATATCAGAGTGTCCTGGTAACACTCTGATAAATCCTGGACTATCTAAGGTATTTGTTTTGCATCTCACTCCAGCTGTCTGTGTGATCAGAGTACGGTTTTTGTAAGACCACTGCATATTATAAAACCTGGAACAGTGACTTGGTGTGGTTCCTGTGAGATAGACTGAAAGCGTCATTTCATTCCTTTGCTAATTTTTGATTGCAGGCAAGTTTTGTAATCCTGTTTATAATGGATTTATGCAAGTAAGGGAATTCAAAAGCCCTAATGCTTTGGCATGGAGTCAGAGGAATTAGGGTGGTAAAGGTTGTGACAGCCTTCTGCCCCGTTTTTGTCCTGTCTCCTGTGATTTAATGAGGACACAGGCTCAGCTGTCTGTGCCTTTGGGGCTGTTGCAGGCACTGGGCTGAGAAGGGAGGCGACAGTGTCAGAGGGACGCAGGTGGCTCTGTAGTCAGAACACCGCCTCCATCCTACCCAAGTATGAGTGGAGGTGTTCTGAACACCTCTTTGTGGGTTTAGAAGTGAAGCCCTTCCTTGGACAAAGCATTTCTGTCCTTAATGCTTTCCACATTCGATGTCAGTGAGCATCAGAGCCACCAGACATGGAGAAAGGCAGGGGACATTGGAGTCCCGAGATGGTACTTTCTGCACAGCGATGTGGCCTTGGGAAGTCACTGTCCTTTTCGAAAAGATGGAGTGACCAGAGGGAATCTTTCCCACTTGGTCATTTTGGGAGGAAGGGAACTACTGCCACTACTACAGGCCATGATTCTAATATTTTGAGTTAACACTTAATCCTTGGCCAATGAGTATTCATTCTTTTTTTCTGATTTCTTTCAGAGATGCCTGAGTGGTGGTGGTGGTTTTTCTAGTATGTCTGTATGGCACATAATTCAGTGTTAGAAAAGGATACAACCACCATGTCCCTTTCTGGAAGAAAACTTGCATTCAAGATTTTGTGTATTTCTTAGTGATATATGATATATTTGTTCTGACGTAAGTCAGCTAGCCTCCTTTCCTACCTACAGATGAATAGACAGAGATGGGGGCTCACTCAACATGCTGTTCAGTATCTTGCTTTTTATCACTTAAAGTGACCTTAAGATCGTTACTTATTAGTCCAAAATACTTGTATGAGACATAAGTTGTGTGGCTGGATATGTCAGCATACATGTAACCAGACCCATACTGATGAATGTTTTGTGTCCTCTCTTAGCTCTGTGGGTGAACTTACACATGACTGTCACCCACACATGTGAGAGTAGATCTGTAGGATCAATTCCCAAAAGTGGAATTGCTGGTTTGACAGGTGTATGTCCATTTTCAACTTTGATACCCTGGGCCCCAGTGCCCCCGTAAGGTAGTGTTCATTTATCATCTCGTGAAGAGGGTCAAGACAACTTTCTTTGTTCCTTTCACTATAATGGGTCTTTAGCCTGTTTATTTGGTTGTTTGGCTGCTGGGTGAAAATGGTATTGTATAGTAGCCTTACTTGAATTTCTTTTATCAGGAGTAAAGTTGAATGCCTTCATGTGACTAAGAGCTATCTATAGTTCCTTTTTGTGAATTGATTTATCTTTTCAAATCATTTGTTTTTCTGTATGGCTATCTGTGAAAGTTTTAATTTCTTAACTATCTGGTGGTCCAGATAGATGATAAAGGAGATCTCCCTCTCTCTGGAAGACAGCACATTTCAAATTTGTGTGTGTTCATGATGCATTGAATTATCAATTATCAGTAGGGAAATATAAATTTGAAATTTCAAGTGGGTATCAGTATCTGTTCATGGGGCAGTTTTAAAATTACATGGGCATTTGAAATTCCCTGCTTCTAAAATGATGTATTTTTCATCTCCACAACTGATTATGTGGAACACTAGGCAATAATCAAAAAGGATGAAGGCAACCTAAGGTCTCCTGAGTATATATTTGAATGCTAGAAAGGCAGTTGCTGAGACTTCCTGTAGGATGATGCCCTTTATGTCTAATCAGAGAAGACACCAGCAACCTGTTTTCTCTGGGCATTTATAAATGTGTTTACATTCACAGGTCAGCATCCTGAAAGGAGATACTGATAGCATGCTCCCTGGGGGAACAATCTAAAACTGGGCTGAGGGTGTAGTCAGAGAGCATATAAATCTTTTATGATGTCACTTTATTTTCACTAGAAGAATTAACTCATGTGTTTGTGAATAATGTTTTGAAAACTTGACTAGTAGCAGATGAATTTATGCAAAGTGGACTGTCAGAGGCACTGAAACCAGATCTAGGCAGCCTCTAAGGAGCCCTGGGAGAATAGCTGGAACTGGGAGTTGGCTGGCTGATCCCAGTGTTGGCTTCTTAGATCCTGACAGGTGAAGACTGGAACGCCGTGATGTACGATGGCATTATGGCTTATGGGGGGCCGTCGTCTTCGGGAATGATCGTCTGCATCTACTTCATCATCCTCTTCATTTGTGGTAACTGTATCCTTTAAGCTGACCACGGGTTTGCTGTCACTCACTGGTTTGACTTCGCCTTCCTGCAGTGGTGGTAGCAGTGGCAGAGAGGTGGCTGCCTTTGCCTTGTTTCATCTGCTCTCCTTCGCTGCTGCTTGGGACAGCAGAGTGGAAGCAGAGTTCCAGGCGGGCTTTGAGGAATGAGAATAAGCTGGGAAGGAGGAAGCACAGCCAGGTGTGAGCTACCCATGCCACCAGTAGGTGTCAGGTGCGAAAAATGGCTTTGGGCAAAGCCAGTGTTTCCTGTGCCAGCATCCTTGGGAGGCTGGGATCCATCTATGTTTTCCTAAGACTTTCCTAACTGGTGGGGACCCATCTCCCATGGGTTGACCTAAGCTCCCCTGAACCTAATATTGCTGTGTTGATTTGACCTCTTTGGGGACCAAGTGTCTGCTGACTGAGGGTTGTATTAGGCTGTGTAACTTCTCTCCCACTTACTTTATTCCTTTCCCTACTGTTATGCCAGAATGGGGCACACTACCCAGAAAAAGCCAGCCACACCACTGTAAAGACAAGAGGAAACTTCATTGCAAGCTTGAGCTTGGGCCCAACCACACACCAGAGGCACCTGGGTGGTAGGAAGGCCCAGAACAAAGGGGAGAACAGATTTTATAGTCCCTTTTTGGCACGCAGGTCTTGGGACAAAGGGGTAGCTAGTGATTGGTTTGGTTAACCTTTACATGGTTTCCTAAACATGGTGAGGAGGGCTTTTGGCCATGGCGATTGGCCCCCTATACCTTATCTATACAGGAATGCACAAGAGCGCAGGTTCCACCCAAGGGGGAGTAAACGTTTCCCCTGGAATGGCAGTTTTAAGAACATGGCGCTGATTATGTTCTTCATCTACCAGTAGGTACTCTAGACTCCTGCACGTGCAGATCTCTCTTCCCCACAGCCAGACCCTTCCTGACCTTGCACCCTTTGATGTTACTTTTTATCTGTGTCCTCCTTGCCTAGCACAGAATTGGCACCCAGATGTCCTCAGTCAGTATTAGCTGGAAAATGCTTCTTGGTCGTCTTCTTTTTCTTTTATAGAATCCTAGTGTGGCTTCTTCTCCTGTGAAGTCCCACATCGCTTTGGCTTTGTCCCTTTAATCTTCTCTGACTTAATCGTGACATTTCTTCGGTGTAGAAACCCCAGTGTAAAACCCATAAGGATGGTACTTTGTGCTTCAAAGTACTGTGTGGAAACTCCCACCTCCGCTCCTATAAATCCTAAATCCTACTGGTGACTCTCTTGTGCAGCTGCAGCGCCCTCCCGCAGGGATCTGTCTCTGAGCTCGCTCCCCTGCCCAGGAGTGAGCCCGCCCACGAGGGGTCGTGCATCCGCATCACCAGGTGTGAGTTCTGCAGTCCTCAAGAGTAGAGGGTGGGCCCTTCCCCACCCCTTAACTGGGTGATACATTTCCTGAGTCAGAAATCTTCTCTTTCTGATAACGCTCATCTCTTGTGTGCAGGATCTTGCACAATCAGTCCTTGGTGAAGGTTTTGTTAAATAAATGGTCTTTTTCTGCTCCCCTTGTTGCTAAGTCTTCAGACCACGGCAATATACCAGCCTTTGGTCTGCAGTGACGTCTTCCCTCATCCCTCTCTGTCTGCTTACATGCTGTGTTTTCTTTATAGAACACATTTTGTTATCTGAAATGCTTAAATAGTTTGATTCCATCTCCCCCAACCAGAATAGACACTCCTTGGGAGCTGGGGTTTCTGTCTACTGTCTCCCCTCATGTCCCCAGCTCTTAGAACCTTGCCTGGCACATCAGAGGAGCATGATAGATCTTTTTGAATGAGTTCCAGAGTGCATTGTAGTTTAGAAGGTTCTGGATATCTGCTATTGGAAAGCGTCTATTAGAAACTTGTTAGGATTTTCCTGTGGTATAGTACTCAAGATTTGCTTTCCACGAACCGAAAGAATTCAGTGTCCTTGCAAGACTAGCGTATTATTTCCTCACTGAGATATTGATAGGAGTAGTGAATACATTTGGGCCCACATTGAGCCCCTCTGGGCCATAACTACCCCTCGCCCTTCAGCAGAGTGTTTCCTTTGTCACGCTGCCGCTCGTGCAGGACAAGTTCCTTCCCCAGGCCTTTTGCAGCTTTGTTTAAAAAATACTTGAGCACATCAAAGTCATTTTAAGATCCTTAATATAATTCACTCACGTTTTGTTCTCTTGGAGACTTGAATAGATTAGTCAAGCACGGCCTCCCCTGGAAGTCATCTCCTCATCAGCGTCTTGTTAGGTTATGTTTGTTTACATGTTCAGCCATCCTGAGGTTTCAGATTGCACAAAGCATATGGGACAGCATTGCAGTGCTCCTGTCGGGGTCCCTGGCTCTGGCAGCCTCACATACAGCCAACCGGTTGTACATCAGCCACAGAGAAGCCTTTAGAGGGAGCGGTCTTGAATGACTGACCCCCACCAGGCCCCACCCTTGTATGTCTCAAAAATGTATTTAAGCATTTTGTCAATACAAAACAGGCACCTCCTGAGTTGGGAACCTTGTTCAGGTTTTTTTTTTTTTTTAAATCATTCAAGGATACCCTGCATGCAACATTGTAGTAAGTGTCAAAACCTGGTAACTGTTCAGTCACCTAGCTTTCTGTGATTTGCAATACAATGCCACCACAGGAGTCAATGCTTTAGGCTCAGTGGAACTATTCAAAAGAATAGCCTGTGCCATTGGCAACAAGCCAGGCACACAGCAGCCAGGGATGGATGTGGTGGAATGGACTCAGAAAGGCTCAGATTGTCTTGTCTGGTGGAGTCACTATTTGAATAATGGGTGGTCCTTAAAGGAAACACTGGGAAGTGTGTCCCTGGCCACATTTGTTAGTAGGTGTGTCAATTTTAAAAGAAGCAAAACAACATGCATAAAGCAAAAAGCATTAAAAAATACCCAGCACTTTTATGTTATAGATTGTTCTGTGCAGTGTATGCCATAGCTAGAGGTACCTAGGTGTTGAGAACACAGGCGTGCACGCACGCACACATACATACACCAGAAATTGAAGTAAATCTTAATTTCTTTCTAGACTATCTTATACAATGTCTCTTTTTTAAAACCAACTTTACCAAGTGAATACAGCACACATGCCAGTCACTAGCATCTTCCCAGACACAGGGAACATAAGGGTGTGGCCTTCTCTCTGTTGAGCAGATGTAATTGCGTTTCAGTATGTGTTGTACCCTTAAAATGTTCAAATTAGATATTCTACTGAATGTCTTCTTGGCCATCGCTGTGGACAACTTGGCTGATGCTGAGAGTTTGAATACTGCTCAGAAAGAGGAAGCTGAAGAAAAGGAAAGGAAAAAGATTGCCAGGTAACCCCATGTTCTCCTGAGGTCTTTTGCTGGGGAAGCCAGCCACAGGGCAGACCACAAGCCCTTGGCTCTCACTGCCTCCCTGCTTAAAGAACTGCTGCCGTTCATTTTGGCGTCGTCAAATAAGTAATGCATGCAGTACTGATTAGTCATAGAACGAGAACTCTACTAAGGTGGTCTGCCACTAACAGGGAGCGCTGAGTGTGGCCATGCGGTGTTCTCGCTGCTCGTGTCATTTCCAGTTAAATTCTGCCCTTCGTCAAGCCATTGCTGATTGACAACCCTGATGGGCATCTTTATACAATAGCAACATAGTGTCTTGTTTTCTCTTCTTTGTAGAAAAGAGAGCCTGGAAAATAAAAAGAATAACAAACCGGAAGTTAACCAGATAGCCAACAGTGATAACAAGGTATTTGTTCTAAAATACTACTTCTCCCCTTTCTGTTTCAAAATGATTTTGTTGCTGACTCCATCAATGTGCCATTTTCACCATGAAAGTGTCCCATGTGGCATTTGGGGGAGAATACAGAATACTGTGAGGTATTTGAGAGAATACGGCATTGGAGGGGGCTCCTTTCCCTGCAGGGTTGTGAGGGATTTAGGCAGTAGGCAGATTGTTCACCAGATTTCACCAGAGAACTAGAATGATAAATATTTGACTGATCTCACCACTTATTTTCTTCTTTACTGGAATTGTTTGGTCACATCTGACTTGGGCGAGGATCTTCCAGTGGGCACTAGAAATGAAGGATTGTTAATGATGTCTTCCCATAGAGGGGTCCCAGCACTAGGGCTTTACTGTCAGACTGCATCCTGCTTATGGTAGATCTTGATTTTCTACTCATTTGTTCATTGCAATGGTGGTTGCTACAGAGCATACCTTGTGGGTCAGGAATGCGCAAGACCGAGGTCGTTTTCTTTGTGGAGCTCAGCATCTACGCAGCAGGCAGACACCCGCAGTGCAGGGTACCAGCGTCTTCTCTTAAGCAGAATCACCTGTGGGGACGTTCGCTGGTCCCTGCACATCCCTACACACTTACGTGCAGCACATACTTTGAGGAGGACTCTCTGCCCTCATTGGGCAGGGTTGGATCTTCACTTTGACCTTGTGAGGTGTGTGTAGGTCAGTCCTCCTCCCTCCCAAGACCTCTCTCCTCCTAGGTTACAATTGACGACTACCGAGAAGAGGATGAAGACAAGGACCCCTACCCGCCATGTGATGTGCCAGGTAGGGCGCTTTCAGCTCATGGGGCAGGTGGGCAGCGAGCGAGTGCACACTGGGCTGCTAGCGAGTGCACACTGGGCTGCTGAGGCCACTGAGGCCCCGAATCCAGTCCCTGTGGACCAGAGAGCTCTGCTTTTCTCTCGGTCCCAGGCAGCCCCTATAACCCAAATTCCAGGTGGTGGGGAGAAAGTGTGAGTAGGTCCCAGCACCCCCAGCCTTTGCAGGGAGCCCTCTCAGGTGGTGATGGATTAATTGTGCTCCCGGGCACAGGGACATTTAACTGGTGCCCTTTGCTGCCTGGTGTAGGCGGGACTGGGGGCTGGGGAGCCTGGGTGACTGATCGTGTGTGACTTGATCCCACACAGTTTCTCAGCTGAAGCTGAGCCAGGTCACTGGGCAGCAGCCAGGTGCGGGGAGGACGGCTCTGAGGAGCCACCGCTGCCCCCCGGCCTGAGTGCAGACCTTCAGCTTCTCTCTGCTCACCCCACCCTCCACACACAGTCCACATCCTGAAGGGTTTTCATTAATGTAAGCAGATAAACGCTCTAGTGTAAGCCAAATTTTCATGTGAAATCGAGGGCAGCAATTCAAACTCAAATGCAGTTGTTACTTCATATCTGTAAAAAAAAAAGTGTCTCGTTTAAAGTAGGTGAAGAGGAAGAGGAGGAGGAGGAGGATGAACCCGAGGTTCCTGCTGGTCCCCGTCCTCGAAGAATCTCTGAGTTGAACATGAAGGAGAAAATCGCCCCCATCCCTGAAGGGAGTGCTTTCTTCATTCTTAGCAAGACCAATCCGTAAATATCCCCTTTCTAGTTGGGTGGGTTCCTCGAGGCCTCTGGGGACCTAATGAGGGAAGGCAGCTCTCAGCCCCCTTCTGCCACCAGTCTCCCGACCCCTCTCCTTCCTGGCCATGCTGCTGCCCTCTGTTCATCTTTCCCTAGCCTTTCCCTCCCTGAAGCAGGGCACTGGGGTGGGGCGTGGGGACAGGTCCTGGGGAGGTCCTGTTCCAGATGCTCCTCTCTCCAGCCCGGCCCTGGGGCCGACAGCCCGGGAATACCCATGCTCACCTGCCTCCCACGGTCTGGTGTCCTACGGTGTCAAGTGACATTTAGCCGAAGGACCCTTCTTCATGAGTGGGCCTTCTTTTGAGATGCTTTTTGGGCTGCAGTTTTGTGACCAGCTTCACAGAATCTGCATCCAGAAATCCAGTTTTGTTGACAGTTTTTTCTCTGTTTTGAAAGTAACAGTAATACTGCTCAGTGACAATTTGTAGGCTGTAGCTGTTTAGTTCGACTCGGACTAATTGATACTCTGCTTAAAATAGCATTTCTCATGTTAAAACAGGGCTTCACCAGGAACATGCTAATTACTTACAGATACTGTACGAAGATGTTTATTTACCAGTTGGCTTCTAGGTTTCCAGTCTTCTGGAATTGACTGAAATGCCCTGGGGAATGAATGGGTCCTAGAAGGGCTTCTAGAATTGCAGAAGTAGATCTCAGCTGTCAGGGAGACACAGGTGGAAAGCAAGGCAGGGTGAGGCCCGAGAGGATTGGGGAGACCTGCTGACAGCTTTTCCAGCTCGTTTGTCCCTGCTGAGGGTTGAGTCGTCTCTTTACAAGAGTCACTTAACCAGAGTTACAGCACCCAGTACTCTGTGTGTCCATCTATCCGAGGGGATTGATTTTATCCCACAGCTGTGAGCTTGTCTGACTCATTGCTTTGGAAAGTCTTCCCCAGACTCAGCTGTAGGCCCTCTGGGGGCACATCTGATGTTAAACACCTCCAGAAAGGATTTGAAACAAGGAGTCATTTTATAAAGTTGACTCCAGTATGGATTCTGTGGGCCAAAAGTACATCTTTAAATTTTAAGGTCAAATGCCAAGATTAAGCACAGTCAGTCTGTGTGTAACCCAAAGGACATTGGGGTGGGGGAGGGAGTGGGGTGGGCCGTGGGAGAGGCTCTGGTGGCCTCAGAACTGTGGTCAGTGCCAGGACTGCTGAGCCCAGGCTGTGCAATCCTGCTTCCTGGGGCTACAGGACTCCCTGAAAAGCCTATACCACCCAGTGCATTGTGACCTTGTTCGCCTGCCTAGTGGGGTGACTTTCACTTTACTTTCTCAGGAGTGATTATTGTGGTCAACTCTGAACAATTAGCACTTCTGAGAAAATCTCCGCAAAACAGGAGATTTCACCAAGCCTGCTTCCTGAGGTCAGTTTTAATAGAATAGAGCTCTGGTAGAGAGCAGCTTGCTGTCGTGCTTTGTGAGCTGTTGCTGTGATCTCTGTGAGGTGTCAGGCTCTGTCCAAGGCATAGAAACTGAGCAGTGCAGCTTCACTTCATAGCAGAGAATGTCATGGCACAGTGACCCAGATGGGAAGTCTCCTGGTCCCTTCTAGTTATGTTACCTTGAAAAAGTTCTTCCAGGTGCTTAAGTCTCAGCTTCTTGACTCCCCCCACCCCCCCACCCCCCCGCCTAGGCTCCATGGGTGGTCTCTGTGGAGCCCTGAACATACCCATGGCACTGCAGGCCCGCAGGGTCTGTCAAGTGGGAATTTTCAGGGCCTAGTGGGCAGGTGTCTCAGGTGTGCTGGGTGGGGGCAGGAGTGACACAACAGACAGGTGTCCTCTGCCTGACTATTACTGAAGAGGGGCCTGTGTGCTGAAGGCCTGTCTGCGCGGGCCCTGCTGGGACAGTGTCCATGCAGTGACTCCCCTGCAGGATCCGCGTGGGCTGCCACAAACTCATCAACCACCACATCTTCACCAACCTCATCCTCGTCTTCATCATGCTGAGCAGCGCTGCCCTGGCCGCCGAGGACCCCATCCGCAGCCACTCCTTCCGGAACACGGTAAGCCCCTGGGCTGGGAGAGGCGCGGCTTGGTGGGGCTGTGGCGGCCGCCCAGACAGGAGCCATCCAGCAGGCCGGCCCTAGAGGTCTAGCACGGGCCTCTGGTTCCCTTGCAAGCATTTTATGTTTCAGCTTTGCAAGTGCAGAGAGGTTTTACTTTATCCGGACAAACCCTTATTTAGTCGTGTATGTTAAACTTCAGTTAATTTTTCACAGGGGCAGGAGCCCTGCCTCTCTTCTTCCTCCCTTGCTGTGGTCCTTTTTACCCCCTCCCCACCCCAGTCACACTCACATCCACACCTAATTTGGGATTTCTCCCTGGTGGAAGCCTCTGGCAGGGAGAAGTAGTAAAATTGAAACCAGCTATATCACCTACCCAGGAACTCTTATCAGGGTTGTCACAATCACATTTTCTGTGACTTAGATTTCCCAAACTAGTTGATTCTGGTTCTGAGGAGAAACAGTCAGGGAAGTGAAGGCAAGGAAGTTAGGTGGTCGTGAGGGGGGAATGCAACTTTGGTGGGAAAGGAGGGCTTTTCAGAGCAAGCAGGTAGGGAGAAGCTTTCTGCCCGCAGTGTCGTGCCAGAGGGTACCACCTTCCACACATTGGCTGTAGTTCCTGACTCAGCGGCCCCTTTCCACCGGGTCAGCTAACTCAGCGCTGAGAACAGTGCAAAGGTTAGACAACTTCAGAGCCTGCAGTCTGCCGACAGCCTGGTCTGTGCGTGCAGATTGGGGCTGTAGATGTTGAAGTACAGTTCCAGGTAAGTGCCAAGAAGTGCTTCTAGGAGAGGGAGGCCGATAAGTGTGCTGGGCCGGGAGAGGCTCGGCCGTGGGAGGGCTGCCTGTTTCTGCACATCAGGTTTTCGTTTGCTTGTTTTTAAGATTTATTTATCCATATAGAGCTGGGGTATAGGCCAGAGGTGCAGGGGCAGTGAGAGGATTCACCAGAGTCAGAGTGGGGAGCAGAACAGGCAGATCGATGAAGTACACTGCTGAGGGGAGCAGCGGGCGGGTCAGGAGAGGTCTGCCGCGCCGTGTGGTCACCTCTGGGGCAGGCGGGGATCGACCTCATGCTGAAGTGACTTTAGCTTCTTAGTGCAGTGCTTTAATCTGCTGCACCACCAGGGGGGCCCCTGCATATCAGGTTTGTAGGAAATTGAGGCTGAAGACAAATGGCCAGATCAGTGCCAGGGGTATGGGTTGTGATAACCAAATCTCAGGCTCTGTCTTCCCCTGTCCTGTGCTCTGGGTTTGAAGCTTGGCAAGTCCAATCTATCCGACTGATAAAAGTGCGCCCCGATAGCAGGTAAAAAAGACTTTTCTAAAGGCACATGCTGAGGTGAGGTAAAGATGAAGGCACTGAGCCTGTCCCAGTCTGCATGCACAGATTAGGCCTATGCTAGAGGTTCCGGGGCGTGCGCCAGAAGGTCTGGACTGAACAAAGACCCCGCCTTGTGCCATTGAGTTCCTTTATGGAAATGAGGTGCTGGGGAAAGAGCTGTGTGGGGGGGGACAATATCACCGTGAGACAAGGCTAGGTCAGGAGTTAGTCTAGAACCCAGATTGAGGACGAGTAGATTTACATGGGGGCCTCGTGTTCTTATTTTTGAGTTATAATCACGTCTCCTTGAGTTCACTTCCCTGCTGCTTTCCTCTGGGAATGTTGTTCTTTTTTAAGATGTGCATATGCGTGTTGCTTTTAAAATACCAGCATGTGGAAGGAACACTGATCACGAGCACTACCTCTTAACAGATGTCTGTGTGCGAACAAAGCAGTAGTCTAGCCGGTAGGCGCTGTGTCCTGTGGCACCTCTCTAGAAGGGGGCATCTCCCCACTCAACAGCTCTCCCCTCACCCTACCCTGACAACCTCCATTCTACCTTCCACCTGTGTGACTTCTTTAGACCACACACAGCTTTGTTTAAACTCGGCATGATCAGTGAATGAAAGGATGGAGGCTGAGTGAGGAAAGACCTGCAGCCCGAGAGCTTTGAGCCTGGCACCAACCTATCCATGGTGATCAGGCAACATTGACTATCCTGTGACCTCCACGGACTTAGGGAGGAAGCAGCAGGGATGGCCACAAACTCAACACATGCACAGAAACGCTTCTAGGAAAACTGGTGAATCCATAAAGGGAAGCAGTTGGGAACATGAACACTTTATGGAGAGAGAAGTTCAGCCGGGGAGAACTGACCTCAGAAGCAGAGGCCTCACCTCACTGTCACAGAGCAGCAGAGGAGCCCTGGGCAGGAGCCCTCGCTTAAAACAGCCCCTTGACTTGCATCCCACCGGCCGAGCCCCTTGGGCAGCAACACCCAAGACTGGCTCTGTGGCCCGAGTCCCTGCCCTGTACCCTCCTCCAGCTTCCTCACTATTAAATGAAAAGAGCTGGCTTGGATGACCCTTTCTGGATCTAATCTCTTTAGTTCTTTTACTGCAGACTACCATTGTCAGGAAGGCAAGCGGCTAAGATGCCTCTTGTGGACACTTTGTGGGGGGCCCTGTGAGACACCTTAGTGGACTTGTTAGACTGCTTGGTGCTGGTCCACCTGTCCCCCTCTCTTATGCCCTTGGCTCTCAGGAGAAGCAGGGACCCAGGAGGGGTTGTAGGACTCGGTCAGAGAGTGGATGATATTTCAGCAGAGCTGACAAAGTAGCCTAAGCTGCCATTTGAAAGGCCAGCGCCTTCTGTTCTCTGAGCGGGCTCAGCACAGTGAAAAATAGGAAATTCTTCCTGGTGGGTGTAATATAGCCAGCCTGGCACAGAGGGCAGGTATTGACTCCCTGCTTGCACAGGCTGGGGCGCAAGGAACCTGTGGATGTCTGGTCCCATTCAACGACACTTCCATCTTTGTTTCCATCTTTCCACCAAACTGAAGGACAGTCCATTTCATTCAGCAAACAGTGCAGCTGAAAATCTAAAATGTGTGTAAAGTGAATGATCTGATGCCACAGGTAATTTGTGGCTGTAGTGCTCTGAAGGAAAAGGTTGCTAATACATTTGTAGAGATGAACCCTCTAAGACATAAAAGTGCAGGAGTCAGTGTGCGCGGGTATGGAGGTAAGTGTCCCCAAATGCCCTTTGTTGGTCATTCGACGAGCTGCAGCTGGACCCTGGAAGGGCTTCAGAGCAGCTCTGCGTTTACTCCAGAGCGGCAGGCTTCTCCTGTGGGGAGGGCCTCTGAGTGCATGTGGGGTGTGTGGCTGTCGGGGTTTGTCCAGATGCCTTTTTCTCACTTCCACATGTTGTACCTTGCAGATACTGGGGTACTTTGACTATGCTTTCACAGCCATCTTTACTGTTGAAATCCTGTTAAAGGTAATGGCTTTTGCATTGCTCCTCACATACTCTAAAGCAGCTGTAGCAGTAATAGTCGCAACTCTTTGTTTACCTTGCAGATGCTAGGTTACGCAGACTATGTCTTCACTGGTACTTTTGCATTTGAAATCATTTTGAAGGTAACAGGCCGCAGGGCTGTGTGTGAAGGGGCCTGCTCCTGGGCACACGGCAGAGACGTGTGGTGTGCTTTTAAAATTTTTGGTTTTTTGCCTCCTGTGGTCAAGCTATACTTTTTGTTTTTTTTTTTTTAAACCGAGAGTTTTCCTATGAACCATTCAACCTTTTGCTGTTTCTTTTTAATCTTTGGATGCATGCTGAAGCTACTTGAGCTTCATAATGAGAATTGAAATAATATCTATATTTTGCTCTTTTTTTTTAACCCTTTGAAATTGGTCAGTTGATAACAGATACATGGCTGAGTGTGAACTTTCCTCCACATGGTCAAAGTCAGAGAAAAAGACTACCCTGGGAGAGGAATGTATCTCTGACTGAACTACGGTTTCAGTGGCCTAAAATAGTAACACACTATTTTCTTGCAACAGGATTTGCAAGATAATTTGGGTCTATTTGTGTCAAGATATTTTTATCTGATTTAATGGATGGGCTTGCATTTACACAAGCAGAATGAGCGCCCTTTGGACGGGAAGCCCTAAATGCACTGCCCATGCATGAGCCAACTGCTGCCTTGCTGGTGTGCTTTGCGTACTGCCTGTGATGGTCCCCTTGGGGTGAGCTCAGCCCCTCCTAGGTAGAGGTCTGGAGACCAACAGGAGCCAAGGGCCCTGCCAAGCTTGCGAGGTGGCTGGGTCCTCGTAGCGCCAGGACAGCGTAGCCTGTGAAAACTGTCAGCGGTCAACTCTAAATGGGGACAAGCTGGAAACGGGGGCTTTTAACAACAGTTTTCTTTAAACGACTTTGGGTTTTTTGTGTGTGCATTTCAGGAGAAAATGCATTTTTGTTGGACTAAGTGGAACTTGTGCTCTTTACAAAATCTCCTGTAAAATGGAACCTCAATTAACATTGCTAAGAGAAGGGACATTTGGTGATTTCTTTTTTCTTTTTTTGCTAATGAAAACAGCACAAAACTAGCCAACCAAACAACCAACCAACCTCTCTTCAAATCTTTGTTAAAATTTTTCTAAAACTTTGAGTGCATTTTCTAGCCTTTAAACCAGTGGGCTTAGCTGGTAGTTTTCTCTGGAAGACCCATGCCCTGAGTCAGGGAGCAGATCCTGGCCATCATCTCCATGGTAAGCAAAGCAGGTACAGAGGTGCAGGGAGTGGGGTTGGTGCACCCACCAGGCCTCTTTTTATCCTTAGCTGCACCCCCCGCCTTTTTTTTTCAGCTTGTCCACCTCTTGGGAAGATAGAAGAATATTCCACTTAAATCTGAAAGGGCAGTTTTATTATTAAAATGGAGAGCTGAGTAAAGGACACTTGCACAGACACTAGTGGGCAGAAGGAGCTGCCCCCCGAAGGACAGGTTTGCTAAAGGGACAGGCGGCGGGAGAGCTGCGGAGGGCGACGGTTGGCGAGGACCAGCACCTGCATAGGACAGGTGGGAGGAAGGGCTGCTGGCGCCACGTGTTTAAGCCTTTGAATGAGTATAACTGCTCTCAGGCTTTGGGGCAGATGAGATACCAGTTCTTTAGAAGGAGAATAACTCAATAGTTGCCTTTTAATTTCTGTGCATGTTCTGTGCAACTCAATAGTTGCCTTTTAATTTCTGTGCATGTTCCTCATTGCCTTAAATTTTCTAAGTCACTTCATTTTGAAAGCATTTTAGAGTGGACAGTTAGCTAAACTAAGGATTCAGAAAATGGAAGGACACGACAAGACTTGGAACTTCTGAAATGATTGTTCCTGGTGACCTTGAAAAGATTTGGAAGACTGTCTGGTTACTTGATGAAACTTCTTGCAATTATCATTTTTCTAGAAGAAAAACAGTCAAACACTGTCAATTGTCTATGGTCCAGTGTAGTAATTTCCCAGCTCTGCCTCTACTCTCCCATATACTTACCTGTATCTCCCTCACATACATTTTTTAAAGCAATGTGCCCTCTGTTTTTTTTTTTTTTTCCCTCACTCTGGGGACATTCTCACCAAACTCTGCCCATCATGACCAGTTGACCCCACACTGGAGCACCCAGTGGGCTCTTGGCACACACAGCATAGACCAGAGAGCAGTGAGACTGCTCAGGTGGGAGCCAGCATGGCTCCTAGCCACACCCGGCACCTGCTGGAGCCACCGCACCAGGGGAGCAAGTTGAGACCCATATTGCTCAGGGCCTCTGGACAGTCAGGGCACAAGCCCTGGGGAGAGGTTGCAAGCTGCGTGTAGGCAGTGAGTGAGGCTGGCCCCGGGGCCGCTGGTGGGGAGCCCAGGTGTCTGCGCAGTGCTGCATCCTCATGCGGACACTGACCCTCCGCTAGGACGTTCCGGGGACACATTCATATTTGAAATTTGTCATCATGTAATAATGTCCGAGTTGATCTCTTCTTTTAGAATGAACTAGAAATCAGCTGGCCTTTTTCCATTTCTGGAAAAATTCTTGGGTCCCTCAGCCCCGCTGGCTTGCATTTCTGGCTTCTTAATGCACACTTGTTAATTAAGTCATACTCGCCTGAAAATTTTGTAAAGAGCCCGGGTTTCTTCTCTCAGGAGAGAAAAAACAATACATCACTCATGGCTCTGTTTATAGATGACCACGTTCGGAGCCTTCCTCCACAAAGGGGCTTTCTGCAGGAACTACTTCAATTTGCTGGACATGCTGGTTGTTGGGGTGTCTCTTGTGTCATTTGGGATCCAGTAAGTATCTTGGGATGTGTCAGTGTGCCTGTGGCTTATGTGAGGAATTTCAGTACATCTCATACAGATCAAGCAGTGTTTTGATGTTTATGTTTACTTATCTGGGGAAGCATGATTGTCTTGGACAAATCATGGTTTCATGTGTTTCCTTTTTTCTTTTCATGCCCACTGCTCGTTTGGGCTTATCGCTTGTGACATTCACTTGCAGTAGAGGGTGAAGAAAGTCTTGGTGTGGAGGATTCTATTAGGAGTTCCTCCAGGATTCTACTAGGTTCCAGGGCCTGCTGGCTTCTCTCCCGGGATCTCAGTTCCCGTCTCTACAGGAGGGGCCTATCAGCTTGGCTAGCAAAGATTCCCCTTGGTTTCCAGAATATAGCATTGATGTGACCCCTTCTTTTGGTTTCTAAAATGTTCAGTTAGGAGGAACTGAGACTGCAAGTCAGAGCTGTGCTGTTTCCATGACCTGTAGGGATTTCTGACAGTATAGTCTGCCTGCTATGCCACAGGCAGGGTTGAGGCTCCACTGGGAATGTCCAGGGAAGTCCTTGCTTTCCTGCTGATTTACAAGCGCCTCTGCTCAGGTTCTGACCAGTAGCACCCACCCCCCCATAGAAGAGCATGTACACATACAGGTAGGTGGACAGGGTCTGGCCCCCTCAGGAGACCAGGGACCCCTGCCTGACATGGCTCTCTGAGTTAGTTAGCCCTCCTCACTGGCCACCCTTCCTGGGAGGAGGCAGCTGTATTGTCATAGCTTGGAAGGACATTCTCACTAATACCTTGGCAACTCCCAAATCTGCCTGTCTTTTCCAACGGGGGCCCTGCCACTGCCTCCTGAGTGAATGCTGGCCACTCCCAGCCACTGCGGTGCTAAGTGGGCTGCACTCTCTCCTGCTGGGCCTTCCTAGGAGCTGCTTAGGTGGGGCTGCTCCTCCTCCACGCGGCTCACCTGGACTCCCTTGGGACTCAGCCTATCTGATGGATTGCCCAGGTGCCTCAGGGTTCAGTCCCTAGCTGCGTGACCACTGTGGCATGCTGCCCAGCAAGCCTGCAGATGCCCGTCTCTCCCAGCAAAGTCTAGAGAAGGGAAGTCCTGCTATAGGTCTCCAGACCTACCAGAGAAACCAAAACCAAACCAACAAAGCTAAAGGCAGGCTTACCTGGTGTCTACAGCAAGTGAAAAGAACAAAGCAGGTCCCTAAAGGGCGTCCCTGCAGAGGCTGGCTATGCATCTGTCGGCACCTGGGCTGGGAGTGGGAGGTGCTGTGTGGTGTGGCCCCGAGGAGGAGACCCCCTGTCCTCTGAGTTGTGGAGGCAGATTCGAGCGGGGCCTCCCGCCTGTTGTGTAACGGTGTTAACGGGATGGCCCGGTGTAGTCAACTTAAGAGTATCTTACCCAAGTGTGGGGCATTCTGCTCACGTTGCTGCCCTCTGTTCTTTCGTTTAGATCCAGTGCCATCTCTGTGGTGAAGATTCTGAGGGTCCTCAGGGTCCTGAGGCCGCTCAGGGCAATCAACAGAGCCAAAGGACTTAAGGTTTGGGTTCTGCCCCACCAGCAAGCTGGACTTGCTTCAGCTGTAATTGTTAACTTTCCTGGGCCCAAACTGAGGGCTGAGGCCTGATGGGTTTTAAAGTGTGACACACATTTGGGCAGGAAATGCCTACTCAGTTAAGCTGCCTCTGCCAAGTGCTGATAACACTTCTGAAATAATTATTTTTTTTTTATTTTTATACATTTAAGATATTTTCTGTATGTAAATACTATTCATTTATTACTTTTCATATCATCAACCATGTTGCTTTGGGTTTCTCTTTAAGTTTATTCTTATGCAGGCTCCACAAAAGGCCAGAACATTTGTATTTCCTAATTCCCTTTTGGGGCAGGGCCTGTTTCTCAGGCCACACTACACCCGCTGGCCTTCTGTCTAACCCAGCTCACTGCTTTGGAGGAGCCCAGTGAGGGGCCGGTGTTCAGGGTTCTCCTCCAGCTGGCCACAGTGCGCTGGGGACAACTCCTTGCAAATAATTACCTGGAAAACAAAGCACCTCCAGGTTGGAAAATCATATAACAATACACATCATTATGGAAAATCTTGACTGGTTTTAGCTCCCTCTGTGCCTAAAACATCATCAATCAGCAAGCCCCTGACTTGATCCTCTGTGTCCCTAGCACGTCGTCCAGTGTGTCTTTGTGGCCATCCGGACAATCGGCAACATCATGATTGTCACCACCCTCCTCCAGTTCATGTTTGCCTGTATTGGGGTCCAGCTGTTCAAGGTATGGGGTGTGCCTTTGGGCACAGAGCCCATGCAGTCAGGTAGGGTCGTGGGGACTGAGCAGGGAGCCTGCACTTGACTATCCATTCTGCCTCCAGGGAAAGTTCTATCGCTGCACAGATGAAGCCAAAAGTAACCCTGAGGAATGCAGGTGAGCATCCTGGTCAGAAGAGTGGGGAACTGGGAATAAATGGAAAATGCCAAGGATGTGCTGAGGCTAGCACTTCAGAAGTTTTGCCAGGAGTGAAAGAAGCCCAAGTGCTCAGCTCCTGACAGAAGGGACATGGCTTGGTTTGGCTTTCGTTGAGATGAAATACATGTAACCAAAAATGGCCATTTTAGATTGTACAACTCATGGCATTGAGTACAGTCACACAGCTGTGCAAGTACCGCCTCTTCACCATCCCCAAAAGAATACGTGGATGGCTTTTGATGTTTGTTACAAATCCATGCTGGAATTAAAAAGCCGGAGTAACAATTATTAAATGACCGCCCCCAGAAGCCTCCCCTATAGTCTCGCGGCTGATTTCCTCCAGACCAGAACTCAGCTCAACTGCCTGTTGAGGAGCTGCCCACCATGTTCACACAGGTCTCCCAGACTGTCCTCTAATGTGGAGGCATTTCTTGCCCTTGTCACCCACAATTTGGTCATTTCCATTTCAAGAACAGGCAAAGGCAGGGAAAGTGGAGAACAGTTATTCCAGCAAGGAGCCATTGCCTCCAGCTCTGCAGCCACATAGAAGGCCACGTTCCCCATCCCTTCGAGGTGTCCCTGAGATCTGGCTGCTCAAGCCAGGGGGTGCGGTCAGAGCACCCCTTGCAGAATCACTGTGGCTGTGCCCCTCCAGAGGCACCCTCCGCTAGGCTGGAGGACGCTTCCCGTAGCTGAGCAGCGCAACAGCAGTGTGGAGCGCCGCCCCCCCCCCCCCGGCTTCCCCCTCAAGTCTGAGTTCTCACCTGTGAAATAAAGACACTAGACTCTTTCCAGAAATAAAATCCTCAGAAATATTGCTAAACGTTATAGAATTCTTTTGGAAAGAAAATTGGGAAGATTATGAAGAGAAGGAATTTTATTCAAATGAAAATGCAGATAAGAAGACACCTCCTGCACCTGTTCTCCAGGGTGGGTAGATGGAATTCTCCATGGCCAAACTTTGGATTTGTCAGTGTACAGTTGAGTCTGTTGGGCATGAGCGATATTTACTGCTCACTAGTTCTCAGACATATGCTGGGTGTCTACCTAGCCTCTCTGGAGAATATCACTAAGTCAGTTCCTGGGCAGTTATTTGAACTGCAGAGTAGATTCGGTGCTGGGAGATGAAGGGGAAAACAGAAGGTGCTACTCTCTGGAGCCACTGAGCACCATGGTGCCAGGAGGTGGGACTGAGCTACTATGCTGGCCCCAGGGCAAGCCGGCCCCACCCACGCCTCTTTTCCTCTCTAGGGGGCTTTTTATCCTCTACAAGGATGGGGATGTTGAGAACCCTGTGGTCCGGGAGAGGATCTGGCAGAACAGTGATTTCAACTTTGACAATGTTCTTTCGGCTATGATGGCCCTTTTTACAGTCTCCACATTTGAGGGCTGGCCTGAGTAAGTACACAGGGTGGACATCTTGCATGGGGGTGCTTCTGCCTGAATGCCTGAGGGCTGAGCCATTTCTCCTGGAGGTCACATCTCTGCAGTCGCAGGCTTCTCCTAGGAGTTTGCAGCTTTGGCCCATTTACTAGTCCCTTCTTGGCTCCCAGGGTACATCTGTCTGAGTAGGAAATGGGGAATCTTTGTGGGCAGTTGACAGAACTGTGTGTCTGTGAGGCAGGGGTGATCCCAGCAGAGGGCTCATCTCAGTGACTCTTGGGGATCACCTCTGCTTAGAGGTGGGAAATCATTTGTCGCACCAGCTCCTGTTGGTTACCATGTCAGTAAAGCTGCTAGCCCGCTGTTGCTAGGTGTTGACAGTGTTCCTACCCTTCATTTATGCATTCACCTATTCATTCTTGGACTAATGTGCCAGGCAGGGGCAGTTATACCGTGCCATTATACCATGTCTCCCAAGGCACTTATTCATAAAATGCGCATTAATGCCAGATCCATGCAACTTGCTGTGATAGGCCTTGCAGAGAAAACAGAATTATCTAGACATCCCTCCTCCCCCCAGGCCCACATCTTGCCAGTGTGGCTTGCAGAACAGGGTCCTCAAGAAGGCTAGGATGTTAAGATGTTAATGGGTAATGTAAGAAAGGAAAGCTTGAAGAAGGTGAGAGGAGAGTCTATTGTACTTTGTCACTCTGCTGTCCCACCCTACGTCCAGACCCTGCCACCAGCACTGCATACCTGGATGGAATCTTAAGTGTCCTGTTTCCATGCACAGAACTACTGCAAACCCTAGACTGTCACAGTCACAGATGGCCACAAGAGTTCCTGTGGAATAGCGGAACGGTTGGGTGGGACTTAGCCTTTGGGGAACTGGTCAGACAAGGCGTGGAGTAAGACCATTCACTGTACACAGGCACTGGCTGCATTTTCAGATTTTGAACACTGCTTTAGCAAATCAGCGGGAGGGGTAATGAACATTCTTGGAATGTGGGGTGCAAAGGAGCTGACCCAACTCCCAGCTCTGCCCTTAGGAGTGAGACCGGTGCGCTGAGAGCCCACTCTGTGCCTCCATAAAATGGGGATGACAGCAATGTGCACCACTCCAGATGGATGTGAAAGTGCCTAGTACAGTATTCCCCATTGGGTGGGTGCCTCAGAAATGTTGCTTTTGCGTCAGAATGGGGCTAACTTGACCTTGGGGTTGTTAGAGGAAGTTCTCTTCTTCCTGTTGAGAGTTGTGTTTGGCATGTATTTAATTTGAGTACGTGTTTCATTTTGGGGAACCTCTTAGTTCTTTAGCAATACCCTGTTTTCTTGCTTGCCTTTACCAGTGTGATTTCAGTTCTGCTGGTGTCTTATATGTGGCATTCTTCCCATCCACGATCATAAATGGGAAGGACTGTTCTTGGGTAATTGTGAAAATTGTTTTTCAGTCCCTGAAACAGTGAACCAATGAATCCGTCCCAGATGTTCCCTCCTCCAGGTGCTGGGCTGACTGGGTCTAATGCTAAGGGTGTTGCCTTAGAGATGCTTGTGTCCAAGGGACTTGGGGTGCAAGGTCTGACAGTGGGTGTCCATGAGCACATTCAACAGCAGACCGGGCTGCTTGGACATTGTGTCGGCAGTGCTTAAGTGGTCCCTCTGCCCTGCAGGTTGCTGTATAAAGCCATCGACTCGAATGGGGAGAATGTTGGCCCTATCTACAACTACCGCGTGGAGATCTCCATCTTCTTCATCATCTACATCATCATCGTCGCGTTCTTCATGATGAACATCTTTGTGGGCTTCGTCATCGTCACATTTCAGGAGCAGGGAGAGAAAGAGTATAAGAACTGTGAGCTGGACAAAAATCAGGTTAAAGTCACACACTGTTTGGGCTTCTGTCCCTTGAGGCAGAGAGCAGTGACCTCTCTTTTGACTGCTCCCCCCTTTCCCTGTGTGCAGAAGAGGGTGCCCACCTGCTGGACTACCCCTAGACTTGGGTCCTGTTCAGAGCACACTCTCAGCCATGTCGAGCCTTTACTATTGAAAGCTGGGCTCCCAGGTACAAAATAGGCACTGTATTTGTGCAATCCACCCCCAGAACTGTAGGTAAGAAGTCAAAGAACGTTTAGGCTGACTTCTGTGGTTATGATCTACTGGTGACAGCTCAGAACCTTGTAGGGTGGTGTGGCTAGGGGCCAGAAAGCACCTACTGACTCCCCAGAGTCTCTGCTTAGGGAGATGCTGATAGCTTAGGCCTCAGTGTTGTTGACGGTTTATAGTGGATTCTTTGTTGTGCTTTGTAGGGTGCTTGGCCACATCCCTGTCCTCTCCCTAGTAGATTCCACTAGCAGCAACCAAAAACGTCTCAAGGTGTGGCTGATAACTGTTGACTTAGGAGGAAGCACTCTGTGACACCCTGTAATCCTGCTCACTTGAAATTTTAAGACTGAGATTGCACTAGCATCGTTCTTGTTATCTAGTGCCTTGTTTTAACTAATCTGATAGGAGCAGAGGCTTCTGGCAAGGGACCTTGGAGACCTGTGTTCTGGTCCTGTTCTACCTGCACCTGCTCTGTGACTGTTCCCTATCGCTAAATTGAGGCCATTAAGAAGTTGCTTTTAGAGGTTTCTCTCAGCTATAAAAGATTTTCTGTGAGATTGAGATTCTATTCTGAGTGTTTCCCCTAGGTTCTCTATCAGTTTCATCTCTTTGATGAAGACACACTGAGCAAGAATCATCTGTCAGCCTGGGCTTCCTGGGGGGAAGTGGCCCTGGCGTGGTGAGGAGATCTGGCCCAGGCTACACTTGTACCACTGGAGGAGATTTGTTTGCAGAAAGATGGTGTTCGGAGTTCCTTTCAAGCCTGCAGTTTCCACCTGTGACAGACACTCTCCCAAGGAACAAGAGTGTCAGGGAAATACCCAGGCGGTGCCAGAGCTGCAATTGTGTCACTATCTGAGGCCCAGAACAGGCACTAGTAGAAGTCATTGTGTGAGCATGTGAGGGCACAGTGGGACCCTGTCCCGGAAACATGGAGCTGTCTGAAGTCGGAAGCCAGAGTCAGAGCAAGAGCACAGGGGTTGGCAGAGAACCTGGGAGCAGGACCTCGACATTGAACTGCAGGCTCTTGGGTCTGAGGCTCCCTCTGGGCTTCCAACTCAGCTCTGTAGTGAGTGAGGGCAGTGCTCTGACTAGGTCCCAGCTGGGTTCAATCCAGCCAGCATTATAGTTTGGGGTTTTGCTAGATAATCATTACTGACCAGGTCTTGAGCTTCTGAGACAAACCTGACCCTCAAAGGCTTACCATGAGATGCTTACAGGTCCTGAGAGGGCCCCTCTGGGGCAGTGAAGGGTCTTGAGTCTTAGAAGTCAACCTAGCCCTTCTGGTTCTTGAGGAGTTTTGCACCTCTCTTCTTTGGTTTCCTCTCTTGAAGGAGACCACATGCAGGAAAACCACAGAGGCAGCCAGTGTCATGGAAGAGGGGCTGGGGTGACCTTGGTCCCAGCCTCATAGCCCTCTTCAGCTTGTGTTCTCTGGGGCCTCAGGAAGGAAGTCCCATGCTCTGGACTTGGTTTTTTAATAAGTAAAGTGGACTAAGGCCAGGTATCCTGCTTACCCCCGAGGTTGCTGTGAGGATCAGATGAGGCAGTGAAGGTGGGTCCCTTTGTCAGTGACTCAGAGTGGTGCCCGTGGGCCCGCTCCTCCCTGATTCCTCCTGGTAGGTGTGCATCGCTCCTTCAGATCAGACAACTGTGCTCTTCTCCCCTGGACGTGCTCAGGACCCCTTCATTGCTTTTTTCTGCCGTTGCAGCGTCAGTGTGTTGAATACGCCTTGAAAGCACGTCCCTTGCGGAGATACATCCCCAAAAACCCCTACCAGTACAAGTTCTGGTACGTGGTGAACTCCTCGCCTTTCGAATACATGATGTTTGTCCTCATCATGCTCAACACACTCTGCTTGGCCATGCAGGTAAAAATGGAGACAGCTGTGGGGATCACGTCTGGGACTTCTGCACAGCCCCATGCCCTAAATTCTGAGAGTTGAATGTCACCCAAGACGATGGGTTTGATTTTCTAATGAGCCTGGTTGTAGTTTGGCCAGAGTTCCATTCTGGCTGACAGTTGTCACATAGGACCATAGGAGCTTGAGAGCAAAATTGACTCTTTTGTTTATCTAGAGGGTGACTGCACAGCCAAGGTGACATTTCCATGTAGCCCAAACATGGCATTCAATTCGGTAAACCTTTAGCATGGACATCCTGTGGCAGGGCACAGTTTGAGTGCTGAAGCTCTTTCTGAGCTAAATGGGCTCCATCCTGACTTTCCTCCTTACTTGCTGGGTGACTCTGAGCCTTGCTTGCCTATGGGCAATCTACCCGTCTGACCTCAGTGTAAGTGGATGATTTGCTGGATCAGTTGAGTTCGGCACTTTGCACTGTGCCTGTTGCAGAGTAAACACCCAGTGTTGAAAAACAAAACACAAGACACATTCCTGTCCTCAGGAGCTCTGGGTCTGACAGCGGGCCATCTTCAGTCGTGAAGTGTGGAGTTTGACTACAGCCACCTCCTGCTCACGTGGGGGGCAAGGAACGTACCTGGCCTTCCTGGGCCAAGTTGGATTGCAGGTGGTATTCACACTGAAATTCCCTGCAGCCTTATCCTCAGGCGGACCCTGCACTGGTACTGGAGGCGGAGGCCATGGTCTGGCTTGGGTTTTCATGCTGCTGAAGAACTTGAGCAGATCAGACCAGCATCCTGTGCTGCTAGAAAATGGGACATTTTCTAGGGACAGTAGGGACAGTCAGTGATAAATTCTCCAGCCCTTTTGTAAAATTGAAGAATTCTTTATGGGTTAAGAATTCTTTGAGAGGACCGCCTAGTGACATTCAGACAAGCTGAGCTAACACCGCCTTTTGTTAAACATAGGCCCAAATGGTGTAGAATTTATCCCTCACCAAATCTAAGCCGTTACTCATAGACATTCGGGTAGATTCTGTATTGTGTATGGGCCAAGGCCCTAAATTTAAGCCCTGCCAGAAGAAAGGGTGGACTCCCTTTATCCTGAGCAGAGGAAACCAATGTCTTCCCCTTCATCATCCAGTCATCCTCATCTTGTCAAGACCCCTCTGTGCTTTGTTGGGGAGCTAACTGTGTGATCTGGGGGTGCCAATGGGATGGTTGGGTGAGGGGTCTGGACTGTGGGATACCTCCATGTCCAAGTGGAGGATGGGTGCCATGGAGGGCAGAGGTCAGAGAGCCTCCTTGTGTGAGTCCAGGGTGGCCTCTGAGAACTGTGCCTCCATCTTCATCCACAGCACTATGAGCAGTCCAAGATGTTTAACGATGCCATGGACATTCTGAACATGGTCTTCACTGGGGTGTTCACCGTTGAGATGGTCTTGAAGGTCATTGCATTTAAACCTAAGGTGAGTTGCTGAACCCGCTTTGCAAAGTGTTGCTGAATCACCCCGGAGAAGCACTGCTTCCTGTTAGTCTTGTGTTACTGAGTTGTGCTAAATCGTTTTGGCCTCTAACTGGGTTATCACCTGAGAACATTAAAATCTGATTAGGACATCTGTATACATATGGGAGAATCAATCTGCAAAAACAAAACCTCATAAAAAACAATTCTGAGAAAAAGGAGGGAGGAGAGAATTGGGAATTTGTAGAATGGAGATTATTTGGAAATTGGTTTTCTTTTTATAGAATAGCTTTCTCAAGAAAGTGTGCCTCCTTGCTCAAACACTAGAGAAACTGTCTTAGCCCATGGAAAGAATCAACCCTGATTTTACTTTTAGACTTTCAGGCTCAAGACTTTGGGTTTTTTTGTTCTTGGTCTGCAGCAGCCTTTTCACCTTTTATGGAAAGATCAAAACCAGCTGTCGACCTCTCAGAGCAAAGCCATCTTTTGTCTGTTTAAATTAGGAAAGTATCACCGATTCTAAGACAAAACATTAAGACAGGAAATTTATTCTCCTTGCTGGACCACTCAGCAGGTCATGGCTCCTGGGAAAGGTGACTCCAGCTACACCAGTGCCGTAGGAGAGGCGAGTCGTGCGTGTTGAGAGCACGCGCAGTTCTGAACCAGGCTAGACTCGAGTCCCTCTCCCCTGCTAGCTCAGCAAGTTGCTTCAGCGCTTTGTGCCTCAGTCTCTTCATCCATAAAAGGAGGGCACAAGTGGTCCTGCTTCGTTGGGTCGTTAAGATGGGCAAGGTCCACTGCTGGGGACACGTCCTCACCGCTGCCATCACCTCCGTAGCCACGGCAGGGGTGTCCCCTTGTTCTAATGCCACAGACACAGGAGCAAGTGCAAGCCGAGCAGTGAGACATTTGAGCCTCAGATTCTCCTCTGGCAAACCCCCCAAACCACAGGAGTTAGAGAATGATAGTATTCGGCGACCTGGTTCCTGGTGCATCTGTGCATAAAGTAGCTGAGACCATAAGACTTGGATTACGAAATGGTTTCACCTAGTCCATACTTACATGGAATTCTAATTCAAAACTGTTCCTTTCTTTAATTTGAATTAATTTCTATGCGATCTTTATCAGATCTTTGTGGACCAAAAAGAAAGGACACTTGTAAGTGATCAATTGGGGTGATTGCAGTGGGGTCAAATTTGGCACTTTCTGCATGGCCAGATGTTATTTACTGTGACTTGTCCATATCTACATACATAAACATTCCCTCCTTTTTCCAGTCCGTCTTCATTTCCTTTAAGATTTTTGGCTCCTTCCCTCTCTTCGTTACTACTTTGAGCAATATTTGTCTGAACTGATGGAAAAGGTCGCAAAACAAGCACATCAAAAGTCCTTGAAAAATGCAGGCAGCATGGAAGCTGCCTGTGGGACATTTGCCAGGTCCCCTGGCTGTGTCTTCCTTTGCCTGGTGATTAAGCACTGATATTTCTCAAAGCTTATTCTGAGCTGAAAAGAAAAAACACACTCACTCCTGGCATGTGTGTGTGTGCGCGTGTGTGCGCTTGTGTGTTTGTGTGTGCAGGCATGCACAATCCCACCCTCTAGCAGGTCTTTGCATCCATAGCTGGCAGTGCCCTGCTCTGCCCAGTGAGCTGCTACTACCACACTGGGAGGGGAGTTCAGTGGCGTGTGAGCAGACTAGAGATGGCCAGGGGAAATGAGTAGCGCAGTTATAATCAGTAATGATCGATCAGTTTTAAAATGAGTGATTTCCGCTGGAAGTTGTGCTGCTCTGTAGTTTTACTCAGCAAGATAATCTCATAACCTAAGACAACCTCAGATGACAATTGAAAGAAGCTTGTAGAAAGATGCTGTAGCTGCACTCTGCCCTCCAGGAGCATGGCCACTGTGGGAGAGAGGTGGCATGTGTGTGCCTGGAGGAGGGGAGAGAATCAAGTCACCAAGAGGCATGGTACTCCTTAAAAAATGCTCCTTTTGTTGTCTCTTCTTAACAATCCAATGCCAGGCCAGTGGGCATTCCCACAGAAGCCAGGGAGGCCCCTCCTTCCCACCCAGAGGGGCAGTCCGACTGGGGAGCCAAGCCGAAAGGGCTGTCCAGAAGTCAGTTTCAAGGGCTGCTTCAGGAACCTCGGCATTTGAGGAGGCTCCCCTGGGGTGGACAGGGCACACCGCCTAGGAGAACTGGGGCAGCTGGCAGGAGAGAAGAGGTGGTGGTAGTGTTGCAGTATGGATAGGGAAAGTGAAGTCCCCCCAGATCCTTCCCAGTGGGTGAGAGGGCATCATGAGAGGGAGGGTTAAAGCAAGTGGAGAAACCTGACCCTGCAGACTTAGGAGTGTGACTGAAGAATGGGGCAGCACTCTAGGTTCTGCTTTTGACATGGCTGTTAGGGCTTTGACAGCGCAGTAGAGGCAGGTGTCCAAGGACCTGTGAGATGGGCTCGTCCTGCTTTTGGAAGCAGGAAGGGATGGAGTGGGGGACAGAAGTTCCCCTGGTTGGGCTGTGCTCTCAGTGGGAGGAGCTGTTTTTGCAAGTTAGTTAGGTAAAAGTGGAAGGTAGTGAGACCTAAGCCAAAATTAGGTCAATAAACATAATTAACAAAAAGAATCAGGGTAAAGCAAACAGCCCGTTTAGCTTACTGTATCAGAGTAAGTCCATGCATCAGGCCTTGACTTCCACGCTCTAGGTTCTGCTTTTGACATGGAGTTGGCTGTTAGGGTTTTGATAGGTAGGCCAGACTTTGGTAAGAACAGGTCCCATCTTCTCCCTTCAGTGTTCCCATAGGAAGCCACTGGAGTGCTCCAGTGCATTTTCTTGTTCCAGTGAAGAAGATTGAGGAGGGAGGGTCATTTCCACATTACCTGGAGACATAAAGAACACATCTGGCTTATTTGAGGATCCCCCTTGGTGCCTCCAAACATCATCCATCCTATGTTTTGTCCAGCACATGTTCCAGGCCAGGTTACCTGCCTCAGTTGTGAATTTTTCACCAGCAGAACAGGGCCCCTTATGAAACTCTTCTTATCAAGCCAACCAGGGTCAGCTCACACTGGAGTCTGTGAGGTGCTTACTGTGCATTATCATCAGAACTACCCCGCATTTCTTTCCATTCCCAATGAGCAGCTGCTTGAAGTCTCAGGATCTTCATTGTCTCACACAATGTCTGCTACATGCTTCTTAATCAGTAAAGACCTGTGGAATGGAGAACAGAGGGAGTGGATCAGCCGATAGTTGCAGCCTCTTGGCATAAAACTCTACTGTCTTTTCTACCACAGGGTGCTTGGGCACAGCAGAGTGGTCAGAGGGCTTATGCTTTCCTTTAAGATCTGACTTGATGTTTGGAAAGACATCAGCTAGTTAGAAAGCTGTCATTCCAGGTCCCTCCCCAAATTGGCAGCGCAGGTCATAATTTGGCTCAAATATTGTTCAAACAGTCCCTGGAAGACATTAGTAAGTGATCTGACTTCATGGCAGACAACAAAAGACGAATCGTTTGATTAGGCCTCTTCTGGTCTGCTGAGGAGACAGGCTCCATCACATAAGGAACCTGGACTAGAGTGCTTTGCTTAGTTTCCCATTTGAAATCACCCCACAAGCATTGCACGTCCGCACAGTCCCTGTGTGCCCCTATCCTTGCTCCTGACTACAGGGCCAGCTCTGCTTCCAGGAGCCCAGGGTTAGGCAGGAGGCAGGCATTTGCCATAAGAATAGAGTTCTTAGAAACCTAGAGTTCTTCCTGGCCCTGGGCGCACATTAGTCTGGCTTGAGATTTTATTTTTTTTCATTATCTGGAATTTTATAAACGACTTTTAAGGGTTTTTTTGTTTGTTTGTTTTTTAAATTTTTTCAACTTTTTAAAAATTTTGTAACAGTTTATTTTTATATCATTTTGTACTTCTTTTTTTTCCCATCTCAATTGTAATCCCTGCAGTTTTCCCATCTGGTTTGAGATTTTAATTTCTAAGGTCAGAAGTATTACACGTGACTGGCTTATTTGGGTTTGTTAATCAAGTGGACAAAAATAACTGCAAGGGGTGGCTGGCTGGACTAATAGGGACTGTGGTTCAACCTAAGGAGCCCTATCCCCAGAATTCAGCTACAGCAAAACAAGTCATGGTTGGACAAGGGGAGAGAGAGCATAGAGGTGGGCCTTCTGTTCGAAGCCCAGGCCTCATTGGTTTTCCCAGATGCTGTGATGACTCTGTGATGAAGAAGGGGTGGGGGAACTGAGTCATGGTCACTTGACAGTGATTTTATTACACAGGAGGCTACTAAACAGGGAATAGTATGTGGGAAGAAAGGGCGGACTGGCATTTTCTGCCTCCCTTAGATTCCTCAAAAAGCCTCCTGGTCAGAATCTGTGATTCTAGCCACCTCCAGCAGCTGAAACCTCCTTTCCCCCAGATCAAGGCAGTCAGCCTCGACTTTGTGAATGCACTAGGATTTTCACAGAATGCTGTGAGTGTGAGGGATCTTCTGAAGAGAAAGTTGTTGAAACTGACAAAAATGAACCCCCAAATATCAAGCCCCTGTGATGTTGACTTAAAGTGATTTGATACACCACAGTGGGCCAATCAGAATGACCTAGTTGGATCATTACTTAAGATCATAAAGCTGTTATAAATCCAAACCAACCGTCAGTGTCATAGCTCCCATGTAAATCTTGACTGATTAATAGCAGGTAGAATAATCATCCAGGATAGCCATCCCGCTGCCGTTTCTATAGTATCATCAAAGGCTGGGGCCCTGCATGGCTTCCTCTGGTGGGCATTTGATCTCAAGTTCACAGTACCTGACACATCACAGTACCTTCTGCTCTTGACCCCAGTTATAAGCACCCTGGGGTCTTCTTTAAATAAGCCAGAACTGAATGTTTAACTCCAAAAGCATGTTCCAACTCTTTGAAAAGATAGTTGGCCTAAAGTCATTGACCTTACAATGAGAAGCATCTGTGCATGGTGTCCTCTCTTCCCTTCAGATCTTGGGCTTCCCAGGGGTGTCAGAAGACAGCAGGTACTAACTCAGCACCTGCTGTGCCAGCTCAGAAGAGGACGTGAAATGTCTGCCACGTGTATGTGGATTCATGAGTCAAAGTCATAGGGCTGATTTGCTTTCAGAACTGTCACAAGATATGAGGACCTTAAAAAACAAGAACTGGGTAAAGTCAAGTGACTAGTAGGCTGCAAGTTGGCAGAGGAAAGAGACATTGTAAGCAGTAGAGCTCTAAGTGGGTTCCAGGCTCTGAGTGGATGTTGGGTTTACTGGACTTGGGGACAGGGCAATCCTGACAGTCTTCATCCTCAAAGGGCTTTCAGTGTGGTCAACCTGCTGACAACGTCCCAGATTCAATTGCTAAGACATGAGAGAGATGCAGGGTCAACAGATTTGGGGTGGAAATCGGGAATTGAGAAGATTCCATCGAGGAGCTGGTGTTTGATGTGATCTGGAAGAAGGAAGAGGGATTGGGCAGATACAGTTTGGGGGTGGATGGGAGGAAGTTAGATTGCAGAGATAGTCAGAGGTGGGGAAGAAGCTAGGCGTGTTTTGAGAGATGGAAAGGATTCTTCTTAGCTGGGATGGTGGAGAGAATTAAGAGTTGAGTGGGGAGAAAGGAGCTGCTGGTGACTGGAGACTTCTCTCCATGATCCCATATATTCTTCCTCTGTGAGACCTGCCCAGGTTCCCTACCAGAGCCCCCATCCCCACAGTCAAATGTGAGGTTCCCTGGCCACACTGTGTCTTGGACCTGTGTGCAGCTCTGTGCCTGTCCCCCCACACATCCACGTCCCTGTTAGACCAAGAGCTCTGGTGCAGGGGATCCCCGTTGTAATTCTTGTTGGACAGGTGAAGGGTTACTACTAGCTTGGTTTCGGGAAACAGAAATAAGGACATGTTGAACCGCCTGGTCACTGCTCTTGTAAGTGGGAGAAGAGAAGGAAGGGGCGTGACTGAGCCCTTAGTATTCTTAACATGAAAGGAGTGGGAGAGCCTTGCTCTTCCATGTGAAAGTAGCAAATTCTTTCTGTGGGGTGTGGGGTTGTCACCCCAGGTGCCAGGGCAGGTTGCCAAATGCCTCAATCTGTCCTGTAGATGTACTGCTTGGCTCGGCGCTGCTCAGGCCCCTGGTCAGCTTTGTGTGTGTGTGTGTGTGTGTGTGTGTGCGCACGCGCGCCCACACTCTCTCACATGCAGGTGCACACTCCGCCTCTGTGTCCTTCCCACCAGTGGACAGTGTTTGTCTCCCTGTGGCCTTCCCATCCTGCCTGGTTGCCATGGGGGCTGCGGGGCATTTCATCCCTACCTGCTCATAAACATCTGCCCCCTGCCTGCTCTGTCCAGGGGTATTTTAGTGACGCCTGGAACACGTTTGACTCCCTCATCGTAGTCGGCAGCATTATAGACGTGGCCCTCAGCGAAGCGGATGTGAGTATGTGCCGGTGTGGCCACCGCCTCCTGTCCTCACTCTGTCTGTGCACGTACTGCTCCCTGCCCCACGCTGGCATCACCTGGACAAGTCACAGATCCGAATCTAAAACCAGGAATCTCCTAGCGAGTGCTGTGGGGAAAAGGCCTTTTAGAGGAGAGCCTTGCCCTAGGCCTTTTTGACACAGATCGCCTGGGGAGGACGATTGTGCAGCAGCCCCAGGTCTCCGGTAGGCAGGCAAGGTGATGTTGATTGTTTTTATTTGGCTGTCAGAAGTGGTACCCCAAGTGACGTATCTGTAACGTGTTTGTTTTAGGGCACTTTTCAAGTAGCCAGATGGCGTCATGCCAGAATGTTCCCTTTTTATAACACTGCCCTTTTCTTCTTTTTTCCTGTTGTGCCTCCTCTCCTCTGTGGCTTCTGAATGCTTGCCCTAACAGCACTATTTCACTGATGCATGGAACACTTTTGATGCCTTAATTGTTGTTGGTAGCGTCGTTGATATTGCTATAACTGAAGTGAATGTAAGTAGCAAACTTTGTGTCCTATGACGTGATTGTTTTTTCTTTAAGTCTGCATATAGGAGGTGAGAGGGTCTACTCACGGGCCTCTCTGTACTTTAGAAATTCAGGCACTCTTTGCTTCTGAAAGACTGAAAACATTTTGTGGTGTCCCCTCTCTCACCTCACTGCCTCCCCCTGAAAGAGCGGGGAAGTGGATGGAGGATTGCCATTTGGGAACTAAAACATTATTTTAAAAGAAGGATTTATGAAATGAGTTAAGGGTAAGGAGTTAGTTGCTGGCCTCGGCTGGTCATCTGCCAGCGGAGTGCCTCAGTTTCTCTAATGTCAAGCATAGTTCATGAAGTGTGTCTTGGTGCCCACCATGGTTCTACAAAGACACCAGAGAGAGACCCTCAGCCGGCACAGGCATTTGGCCACAGCTTCTGGTGTCTGCTGAATCCAGCTGGCATCACTGGGGGACAACCCCAGCCCAGCTTCGCAGATGGTGAATCAGACCAGAGACTGCCCTGGGCCCAGGGAAGGAGGACCTACTGTGTGTCAGGAGAGGGGTATCCGTGTCCTGAGTTGTACTCGGTTGAGTATTTGATGGGGGACCAAGCAGTATAGTAGGTGAACTGCCCCCCTCCAGCAAACCTCCTGAGACCCTTACTTCCAAATGAAGAGGCTGGAGAAGGGGTGGGGGGGTGCCCTCTCATTGACTGCTCATGGACCTGGCCCTTGCCTACACTGTAGGGGTCTGTGGCAGGCAGAAGTAGCCCCGCCCACTCGTCTGTCTCCAGTTTATCAGCAAGTCTGAGAGGGTGTATGGTGTGTGCTCGGGTTGTGTGGAGCCTTCACAAGGACCAGTGAGGTGCGGGGGGTGGTGGTGGGGGTGGTTGTACAGGGCAGGCTTTCTGCTGCACTTGCCACTGAGCCATCCTCCCCCAGGCCAATGGGGAGGGGCCCACCGTGCTCTATGGGCTGGCACCAGCAGGATTGTGTGGTCCATCTTGGTGCCCAGAGAGCCTATGTCAATTGAGGACAGTGAAAACCCTTTATGCCAGTGTGGGGGCTGGGTTGATTCTGGAGTGCAGAATGCTGAGCCAGCCACCAGCCTCTCAAGCCCAAGCCTGCCAGTTCCAGTTGTAGTTCAGGAGGAACCTGGCCCCGATCTCAGTTTTCTCATGGGTATAATGTGTTGAATGATGTCAGCATTCCAGCTTTTTAGGCAAATTTTTGCTGAAGTGCCCAAATTATTCACAAGATAGAAAAGGACATTATTATGTCAATTTTCCATGTAATAATAAGTGAGATGGGCTCATAACATGTTACTGTGTCTGTGAAAATGTGATTTAAGCCTCGTAGCACCCAAAGCCATGAATGGTATTTTTACTAGACTTAGGGTCATACCTCCTCTAGCCTTTTATATAAATTCTGCCTCATGTGAAATTTCCACAAGTCAGCTATAAAATTGCCATTTGTAATGTATAAGTCATGCTTAGAAAATGATCTGATACTAATGGGAAAAGAGCAGGACCCCACCTGAGCTGCCAGAAGCTCTCTTGAGTTCATGACCAGACATCTACCTGATTAACGGTCTCACAGTGTAAAGCAGTTACAACCAACATCAAACTAAATTGACATGCAGATTCTGCAGCGGCACTCATGGTGTCCAAGGTGGGTGTGACATTATCTCAGGATGTCTGAGATAATGAAGTGAAAATGCAGTAAGCTTCAGCAGGACTCTCTGGAGCTCTCAGGGCTTAGGTCTTGTGCAGGGAGCAGGTAGGGTGCGTGGTTTCTGGGTACCAGTATGTGACCAAGGTCTGTTCACCCAATGAACCACCCAGTTCTCTAAATGCCTGACCACTTGCTGGCTGGCAGAGCATGGCTCTGGTGCCCTCAGCAACAACCCACCCCGTCTGCCTCACCATGTGCTGGGAGCAGGGGCAGCCCCCTGTGGCCCAGTGTTGATCCTCAGTTTTGTCCTTCTTGATCATCCATCAGTCAGGAAAGCCACAGGGCTGCCACACCCACTCTGAAGTTCTAGCTAGCACTTAACAGTGGGTGTCTGTACAAAACCAGCTTTCACTGGGCTGACACGTGGCTCTTAGACTCCTCATACTGGCAATCATCCCCGTGTGTACCTCTGGTCAAAGGTAGCCTTAGGCACACCCCGCTCAGTGGATGGCATTGCTGGTTCCCTTACAAGGCCAGCAGGACACCTCTACCTAGGAGAGCCCCTTCTCTGCTGGGTCCCTTGCAGAGCAAATGCTCAAAGCCTCAAAGCCACCTCCTCTTTGACTCAATCTGTCGTCCCATGTTTAGGGGACATTTACAATTCACAGCCCGGGGGCTAAGCTCTGGGGAGGCAGAAAGCCGAGAGAGACTGGGTGTCCTTATCCTCGGGTGGTAAAGCTACCTGAGTGGAACTATGCCCACACTCCTCTCCCCCGCCCTCCTGGCTCCTGGGGAAACAGTGTCTGTCCTGTCCCTGGTGCCTTGTCCCCAAGCTTCTGGGTGAGCTGAGCATGAACACTCTCGTTCTGTTGTTGCCTGGTTTTTGCTGCCATATGTCATCCTGTTTTGCAACTTGCTGTGCTTTTCCCGCCACCCCCTCCCCAACCTCTGTTTCTCTTTCTTTTCTGTTACCTAATTGATTTTCATGTTTTATTTTTAGAAAATTGTAGCGGCAAGTATATATAAACATATATATGGTGAAGTCGTTGTTAAAGCAAAAGCACTTTAAAGACTTACTGTTTTTGGCTTCCCCACCTCTGGTTTTCACTGAGTTTCACAGGATATGCCACTGGTTATGGTCATCTAAATTGTTTCCGGTCCCATGCTTCATTATCTGCAAACTGGGCTGAGCCAGGCTAGGCCCATTTTGGTCCATTATGCTTGGCTTTGTGACTTGCCAAAATAATCTTTAAGAATGAATGATCTGGCCTGAAAATGAGAAATGGAGCTAGCATTTGTATTCTTTGTTAAAAAAAAAAAAAAAAACATTTTGGATGGCCCTTTCCATTGTCCTGCTTGCATGCTTACCCAACCCGCTCCCTCCAGCTGCCTCTCCCCCCACCCTCACCACCTCTCCCCTGTTCTGGTCATGGTTTGAGAGCTCTTTATTGCATTTGGTCATAACATCACCAAGCTGCTGAAATGTCAGGTGGTGACTGGCAGGCTCACTGCTGCTCCCTCTTTGATGCCGGTGTGTTCTTTGAATGATGACCCAGCATCATTCTCCTAACCCAGGGAATGGCTGTCCCTGACATTTAGTTTTTCCTGTTATTAATTGAAAAGAAAGGAAATAATGCAGAAGGTGCGGGCCGGCCACTTGGGTTGTACTCAGAAAACTCATGGCTTGTGTGGCTCCTGTGCTTTGCACGGGGGCCCAATGCCTCTGTTTAAGAACCTGTGGGAAAGGGCTGGAGGGAATATCAGGAAAGCCCTGGGGATCTTAAGGAGATTTCCAAATCCCAACATACACTTTGGCCTCCTGACCCCCTACTGGGGTTCTCAGCTAAAAAACATGGTGTCTTAGGGCTAAGGAGCTACTGAGGTCAACTCAGCAAGTCCCATCCATGAGATGACTGACTTGAAATCTCCTCTGTTGAAAGCCCATCATGTTGCCCTGGAGGCCATCTTTGGGGGCTTCCTGGGGAGCAGGTCTCCCCAGTCTCAGGTCTGTGGTTGATCAGGAGTCCCGCAGAATGTCAGTTGTTCCTGTTTCCATGGAACAACCAGCTTGCTACTTCCATGCTTCCTCCATCCCTCATAAGGAAGACGGGGAAGGCATCTGATCTCGTGAGCACTGAACCTGCATCACTCCATAAGAACCCCCAGCTCAGCTCTAGCAGCTGAAGTGGGTTTTTCTAGTAGCCCCACTCCATGTGGCCAGCCTAGCCCTAGAGGGAATTAGTCGGCTTCACCCTGGTGTAGGACTGCTCCCAGAACTCAGGCTTACCCCACATCAGTTAGATAGGACTCATCCATTTGTTAGAGATCCCTGGAAGTTCTAACGTGCTGCCTCGGTGAGGGTGAGCCCACCCTTTGCAGCAAGCTGCCACTTGTAGTTGGGACACAGCCATCCTCAGGGTTCTTCCGATTTGTAAGATATTTTGGCAACTTGCTCTGTCTCCCAACACTACCAGCAACATCCTCCCCTGCAGCAGAACCCCTGCCCAGGGAGGCGCCTGCTCCCTGGGGGAAGGGGAGGGTGTTGCAGGCTGCCCTGGCCCATGCCCCTTGCTGTGCTGTTTGTTCTTCCCTCTCCTGCATGTTGTGCTGCCTCCCCCGCCACAAATGCTGTCTCTTCCTCCTCCTCTTTGTTTATTTAGACAAAAGAATATCCATGGTTTCAAGTCCCTAGTCCAAAACTTATCATACTTCAAAGTTATCAGTTGAAAAAGATGTGTATGTATATCCAGTCAGCTTGTCTGCTGATGTCCCCATGTCATAAGGGAGCGGGTGGTGGGAGAGTTGTCACACTTGTCCTGGACGGGGGCAGCAGCCAGCAGTAAGGTGCCCCGTGGCCGGAAGAGTCTTCCCCGACCGCAGGCCTCCTTGATTTCTTGCAGCTTCCACATGCAGGGTATGGAAATTTCAGATGTGTGACCGCAGAGTGTTCTGCTCTGTCTTCTGCCCGGCCTAGTCCCCTGGGCCCAGCCGCCGCCCTGTACACAGCCTCAGGAAGATGATACGAGGGACAGTGTTCCTTCACTTGTTAAAGTTTTGAGTTAAACAAACCGTCACCTGCTCCTTTGAGGAGGTGTTAATCAGTTGGAAGTGTGCTAATGAAAAAGGAAAAGAAAAGTTACTCAGGGTATTGGCAGACACTTGGCCACGTTGACGTTCTGAGCATCCTGTGTGGAGCAGGGGCCGCTTTAAAGCCCTACCAGAACCTGCTGGTCCCAGGGTCCTAGTCACTTTGCTGAAATTCATTGTGACATAATGTGCCCAGGCTCCTGATAGTCTGTGAATTTCATGTTTGCAGTCAGGAGGCAGCCACTGAGAGGAAGGCTTCAGAACAGAGTCCTTGTTTCCCCCGCATGCCAGGGAGAAGGGCCCAGAAGATGTGCGCACCCACCCTTGGCTGTACAAACACACCATGCAGAAGCCTCCCTGAAAGCCTCGGGGTGCACCCAGCAACTCTGGGTCTCTCCAGATGAGCCTCATTTCTTTGTCAGTTACCAGGTAGATTAATCAGCTGCTTCAGTGAAGGTGACATTACTCAAGGACAGAGAAGCTGTCATCTCCCTACTCCTGTTCAACCCATGCTTGTCCATTAATTTAAAGATGCTTGTTGATATTGTTAGTTTTCCTAGAACCTCTACGTTCTTTTAAACTTACTGAACAAGTAAAAGAGCCAGATTCCATGCTGGGGACTGTGGACTCGCGGCCTGAGCAGGGAGGCAGGTGTGCACAGGGCCCCAAGGTCTGTGGTTTTGTACCATGCAGCCTGAGTGCTAGGAGCCCCTCTTGGAGCTCAGAGACTCAAGCGTCACACAGAGCTGAGTTTTCCCTCCCCTGAAAGCACTCTGAGCCATTGGGCAGAGAAGGCTTTTTTGGAAACCAGCCTGTCTCCTCACACTGGCTCAGTCTGTCTGGCTCCCAGCAGGCCCGCCAGAGGGACATTGTCAGACACAGGCTGCCTTGGGGTACGGCCCAGGTCCACTCCATTTGTTAGTCATTCTGTTCCTTGGGGACAAGAGGAGACTGCTATAGGGCAGTTAGTTCCTGAGACTCCCCTCTCCAATCCAGACTCAGCAAGGAGAACCAGACTCCCCGCAAGAAGGAGAGCCCCACTCTGCCTTTCTGTCTTTAGGGGCAGCTGAGGCCTGACAGCATCATCCCTTGCTGGATGTGTCAGCCGGGGCACAACAGGGCCTGCAGCATGAATCAGAAAGTGAATCAGAAAGAGCCTGTGTCAGGGCTGTTTGTCCGCAAGCCCAGTCCCGAGAGAGTCCGTGGCTCTTTCTCAGGAGGGAGCAGCTGCATTGTCATAAAACACAAATTAGCCAGAGATGTGTCAGAGGGGGAGGAGAAGTCCTCTGGAATCGCTTCTTCCTTCCCCATTGATTAATGCGTTTCACTCTTTGATTTCTTAAAGCCAACTGAAAGTGAGAATGTCCCTGTCCCAACTGCTACACCTGGGGTAAGATCAGTGACTCGTCCCCAGGGGCTGGGCCTTTTCCTTGAGTTTATTTGACCATGTCGAGTCTTCCACTAGTTTTCCTGTATTCTCCATGATTGTCCTTCCAGAACAGTGTCTGCAGTGGTTTGCATTCATCATCAGTGTCCAGTACTCTTGGCCAGCCCAGCGTTCTCCTCTTAACACACTAGGCCATGTGGACATGCATGTGCTGTGTGGACCCAGTGTTCCAAGTCCTGTGTTGTTAGCATGTAACTTTTCCTTTCATATCATGCTTTTTAAGGTGAAAAGGCCCTAGAAACACATCTTCAATTCTTACCTCTATCACCCTTATTTGCATCTGTTGCTGTTTTTCTGAAAGTGTTGCATGTTCTACTTTCCATTGGGTTTGACCTCTCCATGATAACCCTTCAGAACTCTGAAGAAAGCAATAGAATCTCCATCACCTTTTTCCGTCTTTTCCGAGTGATGCGATTGGTGAAGCTTCTCAGCAGGGGGGAAGGCATCCGGACACTGCTGTGGACTTTCATTAAGTCCTTTCAGGTAAGAGCCACGCCAGTGACTTCTGTTACTCTTTGAAGATAACATGTAACTCAGTGGCTGTTCCCTGTTGGGGAGGAGCCAGACTCCCTTCTGCATGACCACTGTGTCCTCCCACTTGAATAGAAAGGAAGGAGAGACCCAGCTCAGCGAATCAAATAGGGCTACTTGCTTAAAGGAAACAAGAGAAAGCAATAAAGACCTGACGTGGCGAGAGGCATTTCCAGACTGACAGTGATGCGGGGTCTCCCCAGGACGCCCAGGTGAATGGTGATGGCTGAGAGAGTCAGAGCTCTAGAGATGTCCTGGGAGCTTAGCGAGATGGCTTCTCCAAAGCTGTGACAGTCCTATCTGTCCAGACCAGTACCTGGAGGGGTTGCAGCACTCAGGACCTTAGGCACAAGCCAGGTCTTGCTTGTCATCTTTGATTCTACAACATGGGGCAGCCTGGTTCTAGTCTATTCCTGAACAGAAGCAGCGCCTCTCAGTATCCCACCAAGGAATTCTTGTCTGCTGGGCTGAACCCATTGGGAAGAAGGGCTGCGGATAGGAAATTTGTAGATACATACGTTAAAAAGTGAACCTTTGTTTCTTTATTATCTGATTAAATTCAAAAGTAATAAATGTGCCCATAGACTAGTGAAGCTACGTATGAAAAGACTCAAATCGATCCCTCCCCTCTCCAAGGGTTGCCCAGAGCTAACAGCCAGATAGTGTTTTTCTGCAGTGGTTGGACTCTAACAGGTAAAGAGAAAAGGAGATGACACTGGAGGGAGGGGACAGTAACACAACTCAGAAGGGAAATCACAGTCCTGCTGGGAAAACGAGGCTGTAGGAGGAAGGGGTGCAGCCAGGGTAGTGGCAGGGAGAGCAGGGCCTCTGGGAGCTTGAGACTCCCCTGGGTCAGGAGTGAGACCTTACAGAGTTGTTAATGTGAATGACCAAAAGATGTGAATGAACTGCTTTAGATACAGCATTTGTTTACTCAATGTTTTTCCTCCTCACTTTTAAAGAAATTGGTGTGTGTGTGTGTGTGTGTTTAAGATTTGGTCAGTGTGGATAAGAAATTGTTGTCAGGGGTGTCCACATAGCTCTGATGGGAAGATCCTGGGGCTTTTTTTGTTCTACTCTCCTTGTTCCAAGGCCTTTCCTCAAGCACAATTCCCCAGATCTTCAGTCAGGCCAGGCAGCACCCCAGCTTGAGCCCCTCTGTGTGTGTATTGGGGCTGGAGCAGTGCTGTATGTTGTGCGTCTGGCTTTGTTCAATCAAGATGTCAGATGGGGCAGGAAGAATAACCCTGAGCCCTGGAACAATGCTACAGACAGCCAGCCAGCCAGTGCAGTTCTCTGCTGTTAACAAAGACTTGGAGTCTAAATGAATTTGCATCAGGGGCCTGTCACGGGGAGCCATGGCGAGTAGCTCAGCTTTTCCCTCTCCCAGCCCATGCTTTCATTAAAGATACGAACAAAGGAACAAGAAAACGGCAAGCAATTGTGTTTGTGCTTATACAAATGAATAAGTGTTGCTAGAACAAGTTTTTCAAGTTAGTAGGGAACGTGTCCACAAACCCATAAGGAGAACAGGAGCCAGTTTTGGGTAGAAGTTCTGTTTGCAGAGCTTGTAACGACCTGGAACTCCATGTGCTGAGTAAACAGTTATTCTTAGAAGATGCTGGTTCCCCTTAGACAGACTGCCAGCAGTCCCAGTGATCAGTGCAAGTTCTGCTCAGTGAATATAGATGACAGCAGACCGAAGAAAGAAGGTCCAGGCTTCTAGATGAGATACTTCACTCTAAAGCTGCTTAAAATGAAGGTCTTCCAGAAGCCATGCACACAGTTTTCAACTTAAGCAGGAAATATTTCCCTTCTAAGTGCACAAAATCATGTCAGTGTATTGTGTTTATATTGATTAATAAATCTCTGAAACTGGGAGAAAAAGAAATTCATTTCAGAGTATAATGGTCCATAATACTAAGAGATTGTGCCAACAAAATCTTAAAACTAGTGGAGGTGGGGGAAAAAGTCCTAAACACTGAGTAACGAAAGGAGACCGTCATCTAGGCAGGCTGGAAAGCCTGACTGACCCGAGAACTATGCCTCCCTGTCCTGTCGCACAGACCGCTGGCTGTGGGGCAAGCAAGTGAGAGTTTCCAGCCACTGCTTTTCCAATCCCCTTTCTTAGATAGGCTGCTTTAGGTGAGTGCTTGCCTTAAGTTTGCATTCCAGACACTCCCTGGAGATGCTTCTTGCACAGGGACACCTTGTGTATCTCTTGTCATTAGGTACAAAAGCAGTTGAAGAGCATTCATTAAAGGGCAAGGGTCTGACCAGACACTCATTCTTGTATTTGACGATTTTAAGGGGCCTCAGCCTTGGGTGACCCTCAGATAGCTCATTTTCTTCCTGTAACAACTCCCCCCCCAACCCCTTGGCCCCTCTGGTTTTTTGAATTAATCCCATTCCTCAGGCTTTGTTCTAAGGAAATAGTTAGCAGAGGCATTTTGGCAAAAGGGGTCCTTTTGCAATGTGGTCTACAATAACCCTCCTTCCCCTTCCTAAATATGCCCCTTAAAGAAAATGGTAGCACTCTTAATATCCCGTGTTTGGGAATGGCTTCATCATTTACAATGATTTCTCAAGGAATCCAGTGAGGAATTGAAGAATTTTTATGAGAGTGATGGGTCTGCATTAGCCGAGTCAGGGATAGGACACAAAAGTGCCAGTGACTGCGGTTGTAGCTTCAGAACACGAGGTGTGCCTGTGGCTGGGGTTTCCTTGGGGGGGGGGGTGAAGGTGGTGGTTCTGGGCAAGGGTTTAAGAAGTCCTTCCTCACCAGTGATGTCCTTTCAACAACCCCTGGAAAACAAAAGCAGCATGTGGCCCAGCGGCGCCCCAACAACCCCGGTAGAGGCCAGTGGCCAGTGGCCAGTGCCAAGCAGATGCTCCCTCTCTTGCAGGCGCTCCCGTACGTTGCCCTTCTCATAGCCATGCTGTTCTTCATCTACGCAGTCATTGGCATGCAGGTAAGCACCTACCACCTTTCCCTCTGGTCCCCTTTGCTGGCCAACCCCCAATCTGTGGCATGGTACTCCTCGGTCAGGTGAAAGGGAAAGACAAAATCAGGCACACCAAGTAAATTTGCTGCTGACAAGATGAAGAAGGGGGAGAGGTGGCTCCCCAGGAGAGAGACTGTGTGTGGGAGAGTCAGACTAGGCAAGGAGAGGTTGGAATCCGGGTTAGGGGCTCTCCCCACACGTGTTCTGAGTTCGGGAGAGTCAATTGATTCAGGAAACCCATGGTTGATTTTAGCAGCAGGAAAGGCTATGTTTGTCCTACTTTCTTGACTGGAGTTACCAAAAAGATATTTAGTCACACAAACGTCTGTTTTTGAAAAATCATGCTTATCATCACCAAGTGAGAGTCTCACTTGAAGCAGCTCTTCCAGATGCAATTACTGTAACTGAGCTGGAGAGATCATCTTGCTCCACAGCATGGGAACATGGGAATGGGTGTCGTGTCGGGCAACACCACACTGATAAAGAAACGGGTGTCATGGAGCGGGCTGCATAATGCAGGATGCTGCTTAAGAGCAAGATCCTGGCCTCTTTATTGGTAACCAGTCATACAGCATTAGTCATATGGGGAAGCAGAAAAGGAGATGGGGAAGAAGAGGGGAAGGGTGGAACTGCACTTCTCATCTGCTGATAGCTTGGTATATGGATCCAGCCCTGATTCCCCAGTCAGGATTTCAATCTTATCAATAAGGCATTCCACTCATCAGCTTCTGGGGTCCTTCGTTATACATCAGTCAACGGCTCCCTGGGCGTTCCTGGTCATACCTTGAATTGTGTAAGTCAGGAGTGAGTTTATGCCTGTGTCATCTGCTCCCCGCTGGCGTTCCCAGTCATACCTCTCGATGCACACCCTTCCCAGGGTGATCCAGCTTTATGCTCTTAACTGATTGGAAAGTCCCCTTGTAGGATTGGGCTGCTATGACCAGGCAGTTCTGACCTGGCTTTAGGTATACAGAACTGTAGATAATAAAATGGAGGCTGGATAGGCCATTTAGGGTTAGCCCTCTGTCGGCCTGAGGGTGGAGAGACTGGTGGGTCCTTACTAGCTGAGGGTGCGGCATGTGGAGGCAGAGCCTCGAGGAGGAGTGCGAGGTGGAGGCAGCACTTGGCACCGGCCCTCCTTGGTCTCTCTGCTGCATCCAGTGCGCTTTCAGATAAGGAAGGGGTGTTCAGTGGGAATGGCGTGGAAGGATTCCTGAGGCACAGGAGTAACTAGGCTTTAATAGGGAGATTTGGAGGGCATGAAACATTCGCAAGTCCTCAGGAATTTTACCAGGAGTGGTGAACCTAGAGTCACCTGCCTGAGCCCGTCTCTCAGCAGCATGTGGCGCTGGGTGCCCCAAAGTGCCTTTGATGACCTAACGTTCCCGTACACGTGAAGAGCTGTCCTGAGGCCTGTGGCTGCATTGCCCAACCAGTGCAGGTGCTCAAAAGCCTCTGCCAGGCATCCACTCTGCCTCTCAGTCCCTCTAATAAAGTCTTTACAAACTCCCCTGGCCACTCAGGGCCCTTCCCTTGCTGTGGCCCACACTTTCTCCCAGCATGCACCCACTCTTCATTTCCAAGACCACCAGGGTGGGCTTGTCTCTGCTCCTTTGCACGTGGGACACCCTCTGCCTAAAACACTCTGTTCTCCATTCTGGGCCTCAGTGTCACTCCCTACAGCCTTTCTAACCCAAGTGCTGAGGCTGTCAGCAGAAAGGGCGGGCAGTCTGGCTCTGCCTATACCCCCCTTCCGGGGCAGGGATGCCATGAGGTGAGAATATGCCTCTTTAGCACCAAGTTCCCAGCAGTGGGAACAGTGCCCAGCACACCTTTGTTGAATGAACGCTGTGCCAAGCACATGAGCCACCCCCATTGGGTGGTCACCAAACTGATAGTATTTATGCAGTCTTGGGGTTCTTTTTTCTTATTTTACATGACAAAAATCTATCCTTTTTTTCCCTAATAATTCTCCACTTAGATGTTTGGAAAAGTTGCCATGAGAGATAACAACCAGATCAACAGAAACAACAATTTCCAGACATTCCCCCAGGCGGTGCTGCTGCTCTTCAGGTGACTGCGTCCTGCACGGGCCTGGCTCTGCTCCAGGGTGACAGAGAACACTCGTTACTAAGCAGTGTGACTCTTCCCAGTCAGCCATGGCAGCTTTGTCCATCTGTCTTGGCTTCTTATACAAGAGGCACTAGTACTTCCGTTACACAGGATTTTTGTTGGACTGTTGAAATTGCTGTGGTTCACATCGTGGCTGGCTGGCTTAGGTCCACTTGGGAGTTCATAGGTCTACTAAGGCCACTAGGGAAATCATGGGCTTTGTGCTTACTGGGAACCTTCTGCTCAGCCAGTAGGAAAACATCCTAAACAGTGCCATTTCAAATCCTATGGATTGTTTTTAACCCCAGTTAATTAACTTTGTAAACAGATGCCTCAAAGTGAGAGAACTTTCTAGAAACCATAGCAACTTCTAACGACTGTTGACTGAATGGCAAGTCATTTGCAAGCTAGGTAGTTTCCAGGATTTTGCTTCCAACGAAGTCAACAAGGGATCTCATCAAGCTGTCAGATGTTAGGCTGTTAAAAAAGTAATTACTAATCATTAAAAAATTGTGATAGAAGTATTCAAAGTAGAGACAAAGATACGAAACAAAAACAAACATCATTTTTATAAAAATAATTAATGTGCTTGTATCAAATGATCGTCATCCACCAAGGGGGTTACAGCAGGGTCTCCCTTTTCTGGGCTAAGTTGCATTTGAAAATAAGTAGGAAGTTAAGATTTTCAAATTGAATTTTCTCTAAATGACATAGGTCTTGCTCAAATTAAACAATTTTTTTTCTTAAAAACTAATGGCATATGCCTCAATCTCTTCCCTCCCTACTAAAAAAAGCCCTTTCTTTGCTTGACTTAAAAAGGTGTGCAACTGGTGAGGCCTGGCAGGAAATCATGCTGGCCTGCCTCCCCGGGAAGCTGTGTGACCCTGAGTCGGATTACAGCCCCGGGGAGGAGTACACATGTGGAAGCAACTTCGCCATCGTCTACTTCATCAGTTTTTACATGCTCTGTGCGTTTCTGGTAAGAGCTACTACCTCCACCCCCCTTGACAGATGCTTGTGTGGCCCTTGGAGTTCCCACCCATGACATTCTGTCAGGCTGCAGCAGGGTGAGCCCCAGTGCTCCCAGCCCCTCTGTTCTGAGCACGGGTGTGATGCTTGCTGTGGGCTTGGGGCCTCCCCACCCCAGCTCTGTCCGCTGCTAGTTCCTTTAGAGCCAGTTCCCAGCCACTGCAGATAGCAGTGACCTAAGACTTATTTGGTGGCAGTGAAATTGTAAAACCTCACTGGTGCTTCAAAAGACCAGATAACACAGACACACACACACTCACACCCTGCCCTCCCCTGGGACTTTAGCCTTTGGGTAGTGAGAAATCTGCCTTTTCCCGTAAGCATTCTCCAGGAAGAACATTTTTCACAAGCTCTCTTGGTGAACTGTGTTCGAAGGTCTCATGACTCTCATATTCAGGAATCACGTCCTCCGGTCTAAGCTCTTCCACCCAGTACAGCGGAAGCTCCCTCCTTCTAATTTGCTTTTTCAGATCATCAACCTGTTTGTGGCTGTCATCATGGACAATTTTGACTATTTGACCCGGGACTGGTCTATTCTGGGGCCTCATCATTTAGATGAATTCAAAAGAATCTGGTCAGAATATGACCCCGAAGCAAAGTAAGTTGAAAAGGACTCCATCCATCTGGCTTGTGGGGCTGTTTCTGGAATGTTGGCTGTGATGCTTGTGGAAGGTGGGGTGGACTGACAGCTCAGCCATGGGTGCCCTGGACCTCACCCCTGCTTTGTCTCCAGGGGAAGGATCAAACATCTCGATGTGGTCACTCTGCTGCGCCGCATTCAGCCTCCCCTGGGGTTCGGGAAGTTATGCCCCCACAGGGTCGCCTGCAAGGTAAGCATCCTCTTGGCTTGTCCGACAGCCTTTCTGCAGGGGTCCCTGCTTTCTGCAGCAAACACCAAGGGGCGCTCTGCCAAGGCTGCGGTGGGGTGGGGGGGCGGGCTCCTGTCCTGGAGGAGCTGGCAGTTATGTCACCCCGAGCATACCTGTCAGCCACTGTAAGGACAGAACTGGGGTAGTGTGAGCTGCCATTGGTGGATGGAGGGGACATGCCACCTGTGTCCGTCCAGAAGCAGAGTAGGAGGAGTTTGCCAGCGTAGGGTGGGCACGCAGAGAGGAAGAGGAATCCCAACTCAGAGGCAGGAGAGTGAAAGTCACACTGGCAAGTCTGGTGCGGATAAAATGGGAGAAGGTGGCACAAGTCAAGCAGAGTGGCACGAGGCCTCCTGTGCTCTGGGGAGAACGGGGGTGTCCTGGGGGAGGACACATGAGCAGAGGGTGAGTTGTGGCCATGGAGAAGTAAACTGGAGACAGGAGAACCCCCAGGAGAGCTATTGAGGGCCCCTGAGTGTGAAGTATCAAGAACCAGTGGAAGTGGGGCTCAAGGAGAGGGTGGCTGAGGATATACACAGGACTAGAATGGAGATGCTTGTGAGCTGGATGTTTCCAGTGTGGCACGGACGTTCACATGCGCTGCTGCTGCCCTACTTGAGGGGCCCTTAGGGCATCTTCCCTCCTGGGGAACCACCATCTGGAGAGAAGGCTTCTGAGAGACGGATCCAGGCCTCCCACTCACCCTGGTCCTGAGTCCACACCGGACCAGACTCCCTTTGCACTCCTGCTGAGATTCTGTGCATTCTTTGGCGCCGCCATGAAACTGAGTCGGCTATCGTCACAGGAAAGGAGGACTTGCCTTTTAAAGAAAGAAAGGGCAGGATTTGGCTGTGGAAACCACCTGAGAGAAATCCAACCAGTTGCCGTATCTACTGCCCCCCCCCCACACACAGAGCCCAGGGGGTCCAAAGTTCTGAGATTTGAGCACTCCAGGGTCTCTGGGCCAGAACCCTGACAGAACCGAAGGTATAGAGTCCAGCATTGTCTTGGATCTTTAAAGAAATGTTCTGAACGAAACACTATTCCCTGCCCAGAAATTCCAGAAATGATCCCCTTCCTGGCAAGTAACCAGGGTCCTTGGGGTGTCTTTGCTTCTCCCCAGGTGGACTCCAGCTTTAGGCACAAAGTGGGAGTCACCCAAGTTTTTCAGATACTGCAGATTTTTTTTTCCTTAAGTTTCCCAGCACCAGCCGCCATTCTGCTTCCTAGGAACGAGAGGGGCCCAGCCCAGCTCAGAGAGTTTGTGTGTTTGCATCTCCAGACCCTTTTAGGTAAAGGATCTAAGTGTGTCCTTGAGGCCCCCTGCGGTCTGTTTTGCTGATTTGGGAACTGTAGAGGGAAGGTGAATAAATGTCTGTCCTGACTACTTGGACTGGTCTTGGAGACAGTGACCGTCAGTGACAGGTCTAGGAATTATGTGTTCACTAATGGGGAGGTGAAAAAGAAATCTTTCAAAACCTTTCTCTTGGGACACCATGTCAGCCAAAAATAACAAACACGAGGTGATTAGCAGTTAGAATTACACACCACTTAGTACTTCCCAGGAGCCAGGCACCAGGCTGAAATCCTTGTGTCTACGATCTTTGTGGACCCCTCTGCTGTGGGTGTGCCACCTGCATTTATAGATGGGGTAACTGGGACCCAGAGTAAGTGTCACGCACCTGCTCTGCAGCTCTGAGAAGGGAACAGGACCAGGAGAGATAAGGGAGTAGGGTCTGCTCTGGAAGGCCTCCCCTCAAAGAAGCAGCATCAATTCAAACAAAATACTGCACAGAGGTCTCCTGAGGGTCTTTTAAGGACATTGGCTATATGAGCAGTAGGAATGGACCTTGCTGGGAGACAGCCTGTGTCTGGGCCCTGTGCTGGCTTGTTGTGTCTGTTCTACTATTCAGCCCTGACAGCAGCCTCAGGACATGTCCAAAATGTCCTGACCCCCAGGCCCTGAGAGAGCTGGTAACGAGAAAGGCTCGGAAGGCTCGGACAGTGGGGCGACTAGACGATGGTGGTTACAGACACACCAAGTGTGTTTCGATAGACGCCTTTTGTGATTCAAGCTCTGGCGGTTGTCATCTCAGAGTCCCCTGGGTGGTGGGTGCACCCCAAAGGTTGTTGAATCATTGGGTAAGTAGAACAGAGAAGACTAGACAGAGAATGATATCAAAAGGGATGAGGCTGCCATCCGCCACGCTTAATCAAGGAGCTTTCCTGTGTGTTTGCAGAGACTCGTGGCCATGAACATGCCTCTCAACAGTGATGGCACAGTCATGTTTAACGCAACCCTCTTTGCTTTGGTTCGGACAGCTCTCAAAATCAAGACTGAAGGTGAGCATTACTGCAAGAGGGCTGGGTAGTAGATGAGATGGGGAGCCACTGGCCTTCCCCATCTGGGCCTGTCCTTGTCAGGGGGAGGCCCTGGCGCAGGGACTTGAGGGGAATGAGCTGGTCTGCACTGGGCTGGCTGGCTGTTCCTGTCCCCCTCATTCCACTTGTCTGCCTTTACATACATTTCACTTTCTCATGGAAAATTTTGAGATGAATCATGCCACTGCTTGTTCCAGAGCAGGAGAAATGAGTGAGAGGCCAGGGCAGAGTCCCGATTGCAACATAGGGAGCAGGTATGACCCTGACCAGGGAGGGCCTGGTGGGAAGGGCACCCCCCACCTCCAGCCCAGGACCAAGCTGTAATCCAGGGTAAGGGGGATGGTTGCAGCTGTAGAGAGAAGAGGACTCCTGGGCAACATAAGCAAGGCCTGGTTACCCCTATTGATTTTTTAATTCAGGGAACCTGGAACAAGCAAATGAAGAACTGCGAGCTGTGATAAAGAAAATCTGGAAGAAAACCAGCATGAAACTACTTGACCAAGTTGTCCCTCCAGCTGGTGGTCAGTGTACTCTCTTTCCTAAGCAGTTCTTGAATGAGAGCGAATGGTGCACCCAACCCAGAGTGTGTGGGGTGTTTGATATATCAGCTAGGGCATTAAGGCCACAGTTAACAAAGGCCCTTCAGCCATTTGGTGTAATCTTTTGGGGGAATGCAGATGATTCCAGACAAAGGAGAAGCTTGTAGGAGGAAGGAAGCCAAGGCCCTGGTGGCTGGTCTGGGGGGGGAATGAGTAGTCGATGCTGGGAAACAGACGTGTCCCGAAATAAAAAATGAAAGGCTTAGAGCTAATTTCCACTTAACCGTCAACATATCACTGAAAACTGCTCACTAAAAAAAAAAAAATGGCATTTTTATACTGTTTTTATCAAGATTGGATTTACCACCACAATTGCCAAAAATGTCCCTTTAATTTAGAATTTAGCGTAGAGAAAGAACTAACAGGCATGCTTCTTTCCTTTTGTTATGTAATCATAAAATAACTGACTAAACTTTATTTAGATTTATATATATGTATATATATGAAGCATATATATAGATATATATTATATACTGGTTTTCCATTTTTGTTTAAATACGTGTAGACTTAAGTTGAGGTGGTTGTTTTTGCCTTTTATTTTCGAGTTTTAAAGGTGCAGCATCCATTTCCTCGGTGCCACCCACCAGCTCCCTAGCCATCCTGAGCCCGGGGCACCTGATTTAGAAACACTGGTGTCTTTGGAGACCAGCTGAACTTGCGTGGTATTGCCTCCTCTGCAGCTTCCCACATCAGTCTGACTCAGAGGGAGGCTGACCCTCCCAACCCCGGGCCACTGTGGTGACCAAGGCCTCTCGCTGAGAGGGTGACAACCCCTGGCTCTTGGGGGGCAGAGAGAGGAGCTTGCTGGCCAGCTCTGCTGATCAGCTTGCAGTGAGAAGCAAAATGACGTTTGCAGCTGGGGGGAGCCACGCTCAGCTGGCATGGCCCCCAGCTCAGAGCCAGGGAAGGTGGCCCACAAAAAAATGAGAAAGGGAACAAAACACCAAAAAGCCAAACAAACCCCCAGAACCCAAAGAACCAAAAGCCAAAACTCCTGCCTAGACAACTGGCTGGAGAATGGATGCCGCACATTTAAAACACTCTTTGGTTTTCATTCCTCTATGTACTCCCGAGTGCTCGCATGGCTTAGATAAGGTGCTTTTGAAAGTGTGGTAACAATGTGCTTGAGCTTTTTCTGCAGCCTCCATTCCTTTCAACTCTCAGTCTTTCAGAATATTCTGAAGCAATTCTGTTTTAGGGTGGTGGCATGGAATCAGAGTTATCTCTTGCCAATTGTATTCCCCTACAATGTTGCTCAAAACACAAATGCGTGCTTCAGAATAGCGGCTGTGCCTGTCTAGTAAACCTGCCCGTGTCCGGAGACCCGCTCCTCCCACCTGTGCCCAGGGCCACCTCCCCGAGGCCTCACTCACACACCGGCCCCCAGACTCACTTGGAGAGCGTTGCTGGCATCACTGTGAAACGCCATTTATTTTCCTTTTCCTGGGGAAAAGGCCAGACTTTGGACACCACTTACACCCTCTTCTAGGAAAAACTGATTGACTTAAGCTCTGCTAGAAATTTTAATATAGACGATCCATCCTTCTACCTTCTTGGTTCATAAGGGAACGTGGCTCTTTCTGTATGTTTCTGAAAATGGGTTGGGGTTCAGAATGGCAAGTGCTGTTATAGTCCAAAGTGACAGGAAGAAGCACCGAGAAAGGAAGCGCCCTTCGCAGAAGGCTTCCATGAACAGACTGAGTGAGTTTCTGGGCAGGGTTTCATGACTGCTGCAGCTGCCTAGACTCTATTTTCCTTCTTTTCTTCCCCAGTAGCCAGTTCACTCCCAGCCTTTCCCACATCTTGGTAGTTCAGAAATAAGAATATTTGCACAGACCCCAGAGCCCACACAGATCAGTAGCTCACCCAGGCTGAGGGACTCTGTTCTCCATGCTGTAACCTGCTCAGAGACCCTGCGGCCACCCCCAGAACACAGGACTGACCATGTGGGGTGTTGAGGGAGCCCCTCACAGCCTTGGCAATAGAGCAGAGCAGGTGCTGTCTAAGAGGCTTTGTAAGCTAGTGTGAGGGGCCCCCACACCCCTGCCCCGGTCCATGGAATATCAGCCAGAAGCTTCCTTCAGTGCCCTCTCCCAAGGTGCAGGTGCCCACGGGGAGGGACGGTGTGTCTACTCTGCCCCAATGCTGGCTGTCTCTCTTCCTGCCTGAGTTTCACTCATGCTCTCACCTCCATCCTCAATCTTCCGACATTCTGTGGACCCTCTAGAAGACCCATCTTCTCCCAGAGGCTCTCCTCACCTTTTGGCCATTGCTCCTTGACCCCACAGAGCACAATGCTGACCCCTTCTTTCTCTCCAGCCCTTAGCCAGATGCCCAGAGGTCTTTGCTCTCTTCTTGTCTTCTCCATCCTGCTATGGTTCTGAATTTTCCTGTCCTTAGGAAACTTCCCAGCCCGGTTTCAGGTGGTCCTTAACTCCTGCCCTGCAGAGCCCTGGGTGGGCCTGCCTCTGCTCTGGAGTGGCCTTCACACAGAAACTTGTGCACTGAATAGGCTGTTGCCCCAGTTTTTGGACCAGAGAGAGCCAGGAGCCTCCTGCAGGAGCCCCTAAATCCCGGGTAGCACCTTCTAAGCTGAAGGGAGATGGGTCAGGCCTGAGTTGACTGGAAGTATCTCTTGGTGGAACGAGGTGGGCCTTCTGCAGACAGAGCCAATATTGCTTTCTGGGTACTCACAGAGAAGACTTGGAACCCCTGACTTCAGAGGGTGTCTGTGCCACTGCAGGCAGAGAGTTGTTGGGCCCCCAGGACTCCCTCTTCCATCAGCAGTTGTTCTACCTTCAGCATGCAGCCCAGAGAGGGATAGTCCTGTAGTCGGAGAGGCGGCCCCTCCAAAGCTGGCCCAGGTGTCCAGGAGAGGGGTGCAGAGGTGAGCCCAGACTCAGGAAGGGCTCACTCCGTGTTCACATCCCAACAGGAACATCCTGGTGAGTGCTCTAACCTCTCTCCACCTGTCAAAGGGGATGAGACACTCTCACAGTTGTAAGGAGGCCCTGAGACCCACGTGGAATTTCTCTGGAACAGGCCTGATGCCTGTAGACATCTGGCAGTGGGGGGAGCTAGACCTGGTTTTCTAAACAAGTTCCAGACAAAATGGGAGGCAGCTCAAGAGCATGGCAGACAGGAAATGCCAAGGGCTGAGTGGGCTCTGTTCACCTCACACCTCCTTGCCTGTGGGATGTGTACGACTAGACTGTTTAGAGGAGCCTGGGACCCCGGAGGGGCTGTGGATTCACATGCTACGCAAAGCCTTAGTTCACGTTGTTAGGCTTAAAAGGAATGCAGCACACTTCTTGAGGTGCCTTTTCACCTGCTAGTACTCAATAGCTTCAGACAAGAAAGGTGGGATGTAGCCCAGGGAGGCCCAACAGCGTACAAGTGGGGACACTTCCCACAGGCCCACTTAGAGTACCCCACCCAGAGTGTATCAGTGAGTACTGATCCCCAGCCTGTCAGACTCTGCAGTCCTTTTCAATGGATGCTACTGTCAGTGGACAGGAAGGCAGTAACATGCCAGGCCTCAGTTACCCAGTCTCTGGCACTTGGGACCACCCAGGCAGAGGACTGTGGATGTTAGTGCCACATCCCATGAATCCTGCTGGCTTCTGTTTACAAATGAGAGCATCAGTCAGAGAACTTGAGCCCCTTGCCCCAGATCACCTGGCACTCTTAGAAGGATGGTGGGGCTCAAGTTTAGAGACCATCAGCCATTCTTTCTTCCAGTCTCCACAGCCATGTTGGGCAGACCCTGGCATGGCCTGGCACTAAGACAGTCTTCTGCTGTCCACTCAGAAACCATCAGCACACCGCAAATGTGGTGGCCAGCGCTCTTGGAGAGCAGGGCAGTGGAGACCCCTGGGGCACCCCCACACTGCTAAGGTGGTTTACCATGAGACAGCCAGAGCCTCTATTCTGCCTCATGCATCTCCTTTAAAATGCCCAGCAGAGTTCCAGTTTCCCCAACGATATGTGTTGGGCTTGTTTGTAAAAGCAGAAATGGCAGCTCAACCACGAAGTTAGCTGGAGCTGCCATTTGCTGTGCAGAAAACAAGCAGTTAGTTCTGCATTACACACCAAGAAGTAGTCTGTGGAGGCTACTAGTAGAGAATAAGGGGGCACGAGAAGCTGGATTTGCAGCCACTTTTCTGAACCGTCCTCTCCTGATCTTGTCTGTCACCTTCCTGAGGTCTCTATCTTTATCTCGAGGCATCTGGATTTGGATGGCTAATTGCCCTGGACGTTCATGGTAATTACCCATGCAGATCCCTATGTGGAGGGGTGAAAATACGACCCACGAAGCCTTTCTATTTGTTTCATAATTTTTATTTTAAGTAAATAACCAAGACAGCACTTCATAGTGTTACTAATATGCTGCTCTATAAACTCATGACAAATAATACTATTTTTTTTCTTTGCAATTTTGAGCATCAGTTCATTTAACTGACTCTAATTTTGAGCCTTAACTGCTTTGCAAAACTTCGCTTTTTGCTAGACTTAGTCCCCCGTGGTGCCTTCTGCGCTGTCACACCCCAGCCCCGTCCCCAGCCAGAAGTGAGTGTCGAGGCTCTTGGTCCAAATGTGCTGATTCGGGAGAGCTCTGTCTGGTCTCTCCGTTTAGATGATGAGGTAACCGTGGGGAAGTTCTATGCCACTTTCCTGATACAGGACTACTTTAGGAAATTCAAGAAACGAAAAGAACAAGGACTGGTGGGAAAGCACCCTCCGAAGAACACCACGATCGCGCTACAGGTGAATTGTTATTTTGATTTTTCTCTTTTCACTAATGATGTTACAAGCTTATTTGAAATACTAGAGAGCTGACCACTCATGGTTGAGCAGTACCACAAGGATTTTGTTTAAACTGAGCTACTGCACAGTTCCCCAATGTGGACTGGCCATTTCTGGGCCATGAGGTAAGTGTCTCCCTCTTTCTTTCTCTGTTGAGCCGCCTCTGCTGCAGCCCATTCGGCAGGACCCCAGGACAGTGGCCAAGGCACCTCCCTGCAGGGAGGGGAGCAGAGTCAGCCTGCCTTTGTGCCCTGTTTCCTCCCACTTCTCCAAAGGCAGTGTCTCCCCAACAGACACCCCCACCCCCAGCCCAGGGCCTGGGCCCCAGCACCCACTAAACAGCTTTCCATCTGAACGCAAGTGCTTTGTTTTGTTTCTGTTTGTTTCTTACCCCACTGCTTGTTGGTTTTCGGTCCATTTCAGTAACATCCATCACCTCCTCGTGTGTGCTGTGTGTACGTGTGCACGTCTGTGTTTCTCCTGGTGGCCGTGCGTGAGTGCGTGTGCTCGTGCGTGAGAACGCGTGCGTGTGCCTGCCTGTCTCTGTGTGTTTCTCTTGACTGCCCTGAGGCGTGTTGTGTAAATGCTGTGCTCCCACACCCAGGCCAGCCTCTGGTCCCCGTCCCTCCCTCAGTCCTGCCCCTGCCCCAGCACCAAGCGTGGGGATGTGGTTTTCAGGAACCCTTGGTCCCAACCAGGGTCTGGGCCTTCAAGGGAGAGAGAACCCCAAGGAAACCCAAGGCCCCAAGATGGGAACCAGGTGTACAGGAAGGGCTTCCCACGGGGGCCTGCAGGGAAGGAGACAGCAGATCTGAGAGCTGGTGACGGTGAAAGCAGGCTGGCTAGGGGTCCCGAGAAGATGCTGAGAACCGGAGAGAGGGAGCTGCAGACATTGGCAGGCGGTCAGAGCAGCTGTCCAGTTGGTCAAATATCTCGTCATCTGTGCTACCCGCCACCCTACCCTGAGTGCTTTAAGTCCATCATGAATAAGATACTTTCTCCTGTTGTATTTACTTACTCTAAAACTACTCTGCACATGTTGCCACATGTCTTAAATCAGGCCTTGTAGGTGTGGAGTTGCTTTGATATGGGATAGTTCTCTATTTTTTCCTCCCCTGGGGAAAACAACCAGTATGGTTTTGTGTTCATAGTGATGGTAAGCACCAAGCGAAGACTTACCTGTGTTCTTACTGCGAGGAGGTGACTATGAATGGCAGTGAGTGAGTGAGTGAGTGAGTGAGTGAGTGAGTGAGTGAGTGAGTGAGTGAGTGAGTGAAGACACAGGAGCACATGTCTGCCAGGTTAGTAGACTACCTTGTGTGACAGTGACCGGCAGACTCAGGAGGAGCCTCTGCTCTGCCCAGCAGCTGCAGGGCGGGGTGGGCCGGGGAAGGGACAGTGGATGCTGAATTTGACCATCTCTGATCTTTCTTCGTTCACACCTTATTGAAGGTTTAACTCAGTGGGTCACAGGCTCAGCCAGCTAGTTAATTGCTGTTTCAGGTTGTGGAACTTGTCGGTAAAGCTCTCTGCCCTCTGGCTGACCCAGCTTTCCAGAGTGACAGCCTAGATCACAGTGCCCAGCAGCCTTGCAGACCATCACACCGGAAAGAGGTGTTTGCACATGTGAGCAGGTCTCTGGCCTGTCTGTTCTTGAGGATGGCATGAGGGGCTGGGTGGGTGTAACTTGAGGGCAGGGGCCTGTTTGTAAAGGCTCCTCCATACAGTAGCCCTGGGCCTGTGGACCAGACCGGGCAGCTCTGAGTCCCGTGGCGTCGCCACTGTGCTGTGGGCTGTTTAGGGTGCCAGTTGGTGGGGTTGGAGCTTGACTTTCTGGAGGGGTAACATACTCCTTCGTGGATGGCTTTCATCAGAATTTACAGCAGCCAAGTTAGCGCTATGGAATGAGGCCTGTCTTCTGGGGAAGACGTGTGTGCCGTGGGTGACAGGGTTCATCTGCGTGAGTCCTGAGACCTTCCGACTAGGTGGCGTCTGCTTGTGCTGGTGGTGGGTGGGCTTCAACGAGTCTCAAGTTGAAGGGTTAAAGATGCTAAAGCTATTTTGTTAAGTCATGGGTTAAAAGACTGTTACTTTGTGTTAAATTTATGTTTAGGGCTTTTTCTCCCCCCTCCTAAATTTTTTTTTCACTTTACTGTTTATAGAATTTCATCTCCTTGGCAAATTCAATATTTCTAGTTGATAATATCAACACATTTTCGCACGGTTCTAATGGGAGCTGAGGCTATGTCTATAATTTATGTTGTATACACAGCCTAGAAAATTAAGTTGTGTTCATAATATTGACAGAGACGCTCTAAAATGCGTTCGGAAACATTTAAAAGAGAATATTTTTGTCTCCTTGAAGGATAATTCTAATTACATTTCTGCCTTCCTCTGCTATAGAAATGGTTTTAAATGTGATTTGTTGCTGCATTTAATTAGCACGAGGAGGCTCTTCCTTCCTGCCCGATGCAATATTATGTGACGATGTGGCAGCTAGGGACATGGGCTGGAATGGCAGTGGGAGAAACATACCAACAGGGTCTCCGGGACAAAGACGCTGACCCCCAAGGCAGCCCCCAAACGTGGAATGAGTTGCTTCTGTCTGTGCCGGGGGTGCCCCGCGGCTGACAGATTGCTAATGGAAAGTGGAGTGTGGGCATCACAGTGCGAGCAGAGGCCGAGGCTTGTGCGTGTGGTGCTGCGTAGCGTGCTGGCTGCCTGCAGCAGCGGCGCAGCTCTGAGCTCTCTGCCACTTCCCTGTGGGGTGGTTTCAAGAGCACAGAGATGCACAGTGGTCTTCGACCCTGGGCTCCACCAGGTCGCCTCTGTTCGACCAACTGCGGTGCCCCTTCTACAGGAAGGGGAATGGCTAACGGAGCTCCTGGATCCGTGTGTGGGTAGGAGCTTGGCCTCTGTGGTCTGAATGAGTGTGCAGTTTCTTTCTGTCCATCCATCCTCATCATTGAAGCCAGCCTTCTCTCCAGCCCCTCTACAGAGGGAATCAGAGAGCAGCTCATCAGCCTTTTATGTTCCACTCATTCCTTCCATACCATACTCACTTTAGTTTGACTCAGCCTTTGCTCTCCATCCAATGCTGCTGCATCCCAGTGACCTGCAAGTTCCCAGAGGAGCAAGTAAATAAAGGAACTCAGCTCTCAGCCATCCCCTTCCCGGCAAACAGGAACGCACATTGAATGTCCCATCAGACCTCCAGATGAGGACTTTACTACCAGAAACACACAGACCTGTCCTGTATTTCATGGATAAGGAAAGATCCCAAAGTGGGAAAAGTTTTGTTCATTTCTCTTCCCACAGCCAAGGAGACTGGCCCTCACTCATCCCAGGTGGGAGCCAGCCCAGGCAGGCCTCAGAGTAATCATCTTTTTAACTAAGTGGGCTTAAGGAGCAAAGTGTTATTTTCAGCTCGAAGAATTAGGTTGTCAGACTGGGTGATGTTAAAGCCTGTGTCCTGGCTGACAGATGGTTCTCAAGTGAAACGTGGGTGGCGTACCAGGGGCCGTGACACTCCGTCCCTCCCGGGCCTCCCGTGGCCTTCTGGGGAAGCCTGGTGCTCAGAGACAGGAAGAGGGATGCTCTGGAGTAGAGACACCTGCTGGGCTTGGTCATCCAGCCATTTTTTAAAGCATGTGTCCATCTAAAGCCATCAAAAAGGGGTTGTTTTTTGTTTTTCTACGAGGAGAACAGATGCTAACAGATAAGATTTCACTGGCTGATTCATTTGTTTCAGATGCTTGAACGGATGCTTTAGAATTTTCTGCCTGAGCTGCAGCACCAAGCTCGTTAGTCGGAAGGCGTGTTTGGCTAAGGCCTTGAAAGGGAAAAGTCTCAAGTGGGCTTATTTCTACTGAAACAGCATTTCGGGAGAAATGCAGGAAAAAGCAAACCCAAGGCCCCAGGGAGACCCCTTCCAAGCAAAGCAGTGCTCCAGAAGGTGGAAGTGGGGCGCGGCTCACCTGCGGAGCCGTGGCCTGTCTCGGATGCTGCTCACGGTGGCTCTTTCTCATGAAAGGGGACATGCAAGGCTTAACACTTTCCTTTCCAAGCAGAGACTCAGAGAAAGGGAAAGAATAAGAGAGAGCAAAGGAGGGGGGCAGCTGCCCCACAGAGAAATGAAATGAACACAACTTCCTGACGCTGGCCAGTAAAAAAAAAAAAAAAAAGAGAGAGAGAGAGAGAGAGAAAATAATAATAATAATAATGATAAAAGATTAAGCAGACCTGCTGAAGGTGGGCAGCTGACTCTGTTCCAAAGTCCTGCATCCCCAGTTTGCCCGAACTCCTAAGACTGGCAGGCCCCTTGGCGCTGAGCTGACAAAGTTCCTTTTATATGCCAGTCCGTCATGACCTCCTGGCCATCCGGCTCCCGCGCTCTGCAGTGACCCAGTTCAGAATGCAGTGAGAAGTGGGCAGGACAGGAAGCTCAGATACACCCATTTAAACTAACACATATACCCGCATGCCAAAACCAACCCAGACAACACCTCAGGTTCCATCTTAATGTGTCCACAGGAAATACCACACCACACCCAAACCTCATCCAACATTGTCCGTCTTTAATTTGTGCTCAAAGCCAGTCTGGGGATGCCTCTTTGGAAGCAGTGTGGTCTAGTTTCAAGGACACTGGGAGTCAGGGAACCTGGGTTCTAGTCCCGGCTCCAGTGTTTGTTTGCTGTGTGACCTTGGGCAAGACACTTAACCTCTCTGTGCCTCAGTTTCCCCATCTGTAAAATGGGGGTAATAATGTCGACCTACCTCACAGGGCTGTTGTGAGGAATAGCTAAGTGATTGTAAAGCACTTTGAACGTATAATTGCTTATTATTAAGACTACAACAATAATAATATCATATGCCTGTTTACTACCAGAACTTTAAGAAATTCTTGTTTCTCTTTGATCTCTTTTCTATTCTGTACTGTAGTTATCTGTTGAGAAAGAGAA